GGTGCAGGTTGGAACATATGTGAAACTATAGAGTACCTTTTTTGATAAAGCAAAATTATGGAGTATTTTAAAGAAGAACGATCAACAAACTGGAGTAGAAGGTTATATTTAAGTTCGATAGTTTTTATAAATCTTATGTAATTTTGAAGTAAAAAGGGTATGGCGAGAGATGAGGGTGAAAATACCCTCTAATTCCATGGGAAAAACTGTGGTCCCTCTCCCCCAACAATATTGGGATAGATGATTTAGTCCTGTGGATAATTGCCGTGTTCACTGGCTACTTTCAAAGTAAGTAACAGAGTAATATATCCACTTTATCCTGAATGTTTCCAGGGGTAAATATACTATGCTCATACCTGACAATTATGTCTAGCAACTACTGTTGATACTCTTGATAATATCAGAACTTCTAGATTACTGAATTCAGTAGCTTCAACTCCTTACAAATTTTGTTTGCCCTATATAAGGTTGATTGCAAACTCTAGTATATTTCGAATACTGTGACATTCATTCATTTGATTTAACCTTGTGTTCCTAAGATCGTGCTCATGCCATCATGCAGTCAAATTATAGAACTTAAGGGAGTTGCCTAATCTTCTTAAGATGACTAAGTTCAGATGATTTGAAGGTATTGCCTAATAGTTATTACCTTGCGATAAAGTTTTTCTTCACCTCTGCGATATTTTGGACTTCCTCTCCGTCTTGCTCTAAGTGAGGATTGGCTCTACTTTATTCTCTTCTTAGATGATTATCTATATGCCAATATTCAACGCTCTATTAGCAGAAATAGAGAATTGAATGACATTTCACACACTTTCATGCTTTTTCAGATTGAATTGTCCAGATGCAGCCATGAGGAGTTTACAGTTGGCTCGCCAGCATTCATCTAGTGAACATGAACGTCTGGTTTATGAGGGATGGATCTTATATGATACTGGCCACTGTGAAGAAGGTCTACAGAAAGCAGAAGAGTCTATTAGCATCAAGAGATCTTTTGAAGCATTCTTCCTGAAAGCGTATGCTTTAGCCGACTCTAGCCTTGATGCATCTTGTTCATCAACTGTCATATCACTTCTTGAGGATGCCTTGCTATGCCCTTCAGATAGGCTTCGCAAAGGTCAGGTATGTCACTCTCTATCCAGAATCTCCACACCATTCAAAAATGAATTTCTAAGTAGCCATGCTAAATTTGTAGATTGAATGTAGCAACTAAACTGTGTTCATATGGTGCTAACAAGGAATAGTGTGCTTTTTTGATTTTATTTTTTGATAAGGTAAAGTTTATTACAAAGGTACCTAGATGGTTGAAATTATGGCAAATATATATGTTTATTGGTAATAGAGCAGCAAGAAGTCATGGTTCAAAGTTCGCTTTACCATGCACTCAAATATTTTTCATGTGCTTAGCTTAGCTAGCATAATTGCTACTGCAGTGCGGGATCATTCAGATAGTATCATAGAAAGAGGACAAAAATGTCTCCCTTCTAACAGTGGGTCTTGTGTTTTTCTAGTTTATTGTTAAGTTGCTAATACGAAAAATGTGCGAATCTGTGACATGTTTTCCTTGGTTGAACTTTGGTAGGCCCTGAACAATCTTGGCAGTGTGTATGTCGACTGCGGTAAATTGGATGCTGCAGCTGATTGCTACATTAATGCCCTTAAAATCCGGCATACCCGGGCTCACCAAGGTCTTGCTCGGGTACATTTCTTGAGAAATGATAAGGTGGCTGCTTATGATGAAATGACCAAACTGATTGAGAAGGCCAAGAATAATGCATCTGCCTACGAGAAGAGATCAGAGTACTGTGACCGCGACCGCACAAAGGCTGACCTAGAGATGGTCACTCGTCTAGATCCTCTTAGAGTTTACCCTTACAGATATCGAGCTGCAGGTAATAGTTCTTTCTTTTTCCATCCATTTTTCAGTTTTTAGTTTTATTCGCCTTGATCTGGAGACGAAGAATGCATGAACGTTCTACATTCTTTCACTTATTATAAAGTTAGATTTGCGTATTATATACTAAGATCTATATACAACTTCTATCAATAATAAATACAGTATCAAATTACTCATTGGAACTCAGATTCCTTATATGGTTTTTGATTCTGTTAATAACATACACAAATAGTAAATCAAGATGGCCCTTTATGAGAAAATTTAGCCTTCCCCTCTATCTTTCTGCAGTTAGTAGGCACAGTATTTCCGGCAATTGCGATAGCTTCTTTGACAACATGTTATAGTAGCTTTTTTTATTAGGATCTTTAGCACTATGAGTGGAGTCTTAAACTGATTATAGTAGGTTAGTTTCCGTTTCTATTTTATCTGCATAGAACTTAAAATTCTTTTGATTAACGATTGGTAATTGGTCATAGTTCTGATGGACAACCACAAGGACAAGGAAGCCATTGAAGAACTGTCGAGGGCCATTGCATTTAAAGCCGATCTTCATCTTTTACACCTGCGAGCTGCTTTTCATGAGCATATAGGCGATGTTATGGGTGCGTTGCGAGATTGTCGAGCTGCTCTCTCTGTTGACCCAAAACATCAAGAAATGTTGGAACTTCATAGTCGTGTGAACAGTCAAGAACCTTAAAGAAATGGTTAATGAGCAAACAAGACATATATGCAACAGGAGGGGGAAACTTGTGTCTCTTGTATGAGGGAAGGACACAAAAGTAAAAAAATTATTGAGAAAGACTTTTCTCCCTTTTTCCTTGTTCTTCCTCCATTGGATGCCATAGTGAGCCTCTTCTTGTTTATCCTAGTTCCAAAATTTTGTAATATGCTCCAAAATTCTTTGTTAATATTATTTTTATTAATGAAAATCTTTATTCTCTCTCTAGAATTATTTATTAATAAGTGTGAAATTGCTTTAATAGAATTTCTCAAAACTTGTGCACTTTTGGAATGAGTAGTATACTACTCCCTCCGTCCACAATTGTTTGGCAGGTATACTAAAAATAGATGTCCAAGATTAATTGTCAATTTAAACAATCAAGAAATAATTAGTCATTTTTTTTCCAATTCTACCTTAATGATAGTGTAGTTCAATTGAAAAGTTATGTGGACTTTTGATATTCTTGGTATTGTAGGGTTATATTAGTCAAATTATACCTTGTATTAAATTTTCCTTGAGGGATGTGCATGACCTTACCCTGCCAAACAATTGTGGACGGAGGGAGTAACATTGTAACTTAGGAATTTATTTTATGTTGGGTGTCAAGGAACACCAACAACTTTTTGTAAATATTAGTGCAATGTAGTCATTTTTCGAGCTTCATAAAAATCTTGGAGTTCACTCATTGTTGTTTATAGTGTAAGATGTACACTGATTTGCCCAGTTCTTGATGTTTCGTTTGCCACAAAGAAAATGATGTGTATTACGAGATTGGTAAGGTAAGGTCTAGATCAATAGCTAACTCCATTGGGCTATGAGAATATTCGGTTAAGAGGAATCTCAGTCATTCAACTATACCCTTATCTGAGATATTCAGTTAAGAGGAATCCCAACCTTCAACCACACCATTTCATGGTTCTGCTGGTACTTAATAGGAGTACCAAATTATAACAGAAGTCATGGTTGAAAGACATTGGAAACTGAAGATCGCAATGAAGTGATCGAATCTAATGATAAATTTTAGCTGAATGCGTTGGCCACACTGATTTAGCAAAGGTAACTCAAAGTATCCGTTCTTGTTGTTCCGCGGACTATCTTTCCCCCCTCAAGAACACAACCAATAGAATGACCATTCACAGTATTCAAAACTGAAAAGTCTCGGAAATTATTTGATCAGTTAAAAGCCTGCCTTCCCTATTTGATCGACAATTGTGCCTCCTATCGAAGTGCTGCTTCTGGGTCTTATTGGTTATTGCACAAATCAACTGCACTAAAACTAGATGCGTTTACTCGTTCATGAAGTTGGAACTGGAGCTGAAGTTTTGGGATAAATCCTCGGAATGATATGCTATATGCTTTCCAATGATGAAAGTTTCCATAGCTCTATATAGTGTTTATGACCTTTTGTGTTAGCTATGACAGGTTAAACTAAACTACGTATATATATAAACTATATACCATCCATGTATATAACTTAAATCCTAAAACACATGACATACTTATCCTCCCAAAGAATTTGACATTGGAATATTGGTTCAAGAAATTTCATGCTGCAAGGTAAAGAAACGAAGAAATATCCATATTCTTCCAGCTAGGGGGTATGAAATCGAACCAAACCATTAACTGAGTCAACCCGAAAAAAAACCCCAACTAGTGGTTTGGTTTGACTAGGTTTGATATTGGAAAGAAAATCCGACTATATTTGGTTGGTTTGGTTTTAACTTAAAAAAACCAACCCGAGACCAAACCAACCCGACATTATATATGTAATTTTAAAATTTTATTTTATACATTAAAATATTTACTTAAATATATTTTTTAAATATTTCTTATACTATTTCATAGTTTTTATCTTTTAATATATTATTTCAAGTTTAAAACTTAGAATTCGGAATGGTCCAATAAAGATTATAGTTCATAGATGTTGATAATTATAATAAAACTGAAATCAAAATAAAATTAATACTAATGCAAAAAGAAAATCAATTCAACACTAAGAATGACAATAATATTGAATATTTGTTCTTTAGTTTTACATTAGTTTAGACAATTAAAATACATAATCTAATTTTAATTTTCCTTAAATATTTAGTAATGAAACTAATCTTATTTTAGCATAATTTAATACTTTTAAATTATGATCATTTTCATTATGACTTTGCAATATTTATTTTATATGAAGATTTCATTATTATTTTTTATTGAATATTTTTGTGTCATCCATACTAATCTCATAGTGTTATTTTTTTAAGAAACACCTTAGATAATTATATTTTGATTGGACTAAAGAAATATTTGGAGCACAAGTTAATTATATGTTTGTATGCAAACTTTACCGAAAAAATCCAAAAATCTGAAAAAATTCGAGGTTTATTAGTTTGGTTTGATTTATAAATTTAAAAATTCGACACAATGGTTTGGTTTGGTATTTGAAAAAACCGAACCAACCCGAGATTGAAAAACCCAAAAAAATCCCAATTTTATTAGTTTGGTTTGGTTTATAAATTTAAAATTTTTACACAAATGATTTGGTTTGATATTTGAAAAACCGGAACCAACCCGGTCATGTACACTCCTACTTCCAGCTCTTCATTCTTTGCTGCCCGTTTCTCTGTTCCTCCAGCTTACACACCAGGCAATAAGTTCAATGAAATAACCATAAGCTGCACTTGTAAAGCCCAGTGTCCCATTAGGACAGTACAAGAAAGAGAGGTGGAGAATGGGCCACAAGGCATCCGAATCACAGAACCTCGGGTAAAGGTATACAAGTTGTGTTGTCTTTTAGCTGTTCATACAGAAGCAGGTATCCCACCTGGTATTTTTTTTATCACCTTTGCGAGAAGTATGGGTGTTTTAGAGCCTCATCAACACTTGGTCGATCTTCCTGAAATGAAGATGCAGTTAATAGAATTTAGAATCAAATACTAATTTCAGCTTACTGAATTAACAACACGAAGCACAAATGTAGGTATTAACATTGACTGTTTCAAGACAGCTTACAGGATTCCATTGTAATAATTCACGTACTAGTCGCAGTGCCCATATGTTTGGGAACCTGCAGCAATCAAAAAATAATTTTAGCGAGCTACCAATTTGGAACTTTGTTGTGTCCCATAGATTGTCCTTTTGAAAAAAGAAAGAGGGCCTTGGGATTCCGGTAGGGAATGTGCAGTACAGACATGAATACGAACCCTATCTTCAGAGGATCCCTGTTTTTAATTTGATGAGAAAAGAACTCTTCAGAGCATTTCCATGGAGCTGGTGAAGCTGAGGCCTGAATGAAGAAATAAGAATTAGAAATTAAAACAAATGAATCCATAGCTCTAAACCCTGAAGCTAATCATTCCTATCTATAAAGATTATCTCAGAAATAAAAACAGGTAGTAATAATATTTAGTGGCATACCTCAAAAGCAATGAAATTGAATAAGCTCTTGGAAAGATGTGAAGTGTGAATAATTCAGTCTAGTAGATAAACTAAGAATCTACTATCGCAAAAAAAAAAAAAAAAAAAAAAAAAAAATTGGAAAAAAGAATTTTGACAGAAGACATCTGAAAATATTGACTGCCACCAGCTAGGATTTTCTAACTGCAAAAGTGGAACAGAAGTGACACTCGGAACAATTCACTCTAATCATCAGACAAATATTGTCTCTCACAATACCATTAGGTTTAGTAATGTGGAAAAGCATTTTGCAAATTTAATGTGAAACTGAATCACAAGATTCCACCAACTGATACTTCCTGTTACATGTGAGATTTTTATTCTTTTTCTCGGTTATATAGCTTCCAAAACTATTCGTTGTCAGAAATGTCGGAAAAACATTTTTCACAGGTTAGATGTGAAACTGTAATACGTTTCCACCACCTAATATCTCCTATTACGTGGAGATTTCTGTTCTTGCCTAATATTAACAGGTACTACACCATCCAGGGAAAAGGATTTCAACAACAGACATCCATTTATATGCCAAAACACAATAAAGAAAAAAAATAGAAGAATACAGAATTAGTTAAAACCAATGACACTGAATAAATCAAATCTGTATTGGTGTAACTCGAACATCATAGCAAGAGCCTAAGCTGCGGTAATGAGTAATGGCATATTGATTCTCAATATACATGTCCAACAAACCCCACTTTGCAGCAGGTCCAAATAAGAAAAGTAAATTAATCACATTGAAAGTGGGTAAGAACTACTCCCTCCGTTTCAATTTGTTGGCCTGGTTTTGACTTGGACGGGGTTCAAAAAAGAAAGAAAAACTTTTCAATCTTGTGGTCTTAAATTAAAGATACGTAGAATGTACCAAAATACCCTTTAATCTTGTGGTCTTAAACAAACCATGTGGAAATGGGAATAAAGAGTTCCCAAGAAAGGAAAGAAACATCCTTCTCTGAACTGACTTAAAAATAAATAAGACAAACAAAATTGAAAGGGAGGGAGTACTCATTTTTGTCAAACATAAATCTCTTGTACAAAACCCAAGGCAACAGACAGAATGTGGACCAATAGGATTTAGAAAGAAGACACCTCACCTGGTTATATTTTGATTTAGTTTGATGAAGTTTTGAGGTAACTCCAGGGCTCAGAATACACATTTCCATGAAAGATCTGAGTCTGTCAAAAGAAACATTGCAGCTATATTTAGCAGAGTGTCAACCTGACTGGAATAACCAAGTAGATTACATCAAATCAACACTATCCATGTAAAAACTGTAGAGTTCCTTTTATATTGAACTATACTAACAAAAATCCTTTCTTCTCAAATGCGATGATTAACAAGTAGCACAAATTGATCAAAGCAAATATCCACTGAAGTATGTTTAGACAGATACAGATAAAAGTGGGAAAAATTTCGAAATTCAATTGTAAAGAGACTGTTGATGATTTCGCAAGGAAAAAGTCCCAAATAAACTGTGCACTCGGCATGATGCCAATTTGCTTAGATTGTTTGAGGTATTTAACTTTCTTTTATTTTCTAATGGAATATTTAGTCATTTCAAATTAAATTTGAAATCTAAATTAGTTGTTAATAGCTACCAAAAGGACACTACCTATTTCAATCAAGTCTTTAACAATATGTGATACCCTATCAAATTACAGGCTGCAAGTCAACCACTAAAAAGAGTAAATTACGATCAGTATTAGAGTGTTAACCATTAGCATAAGAATGTAGCATTAGAAGAATTATCACACGTGTTGTGCTTAACACCAATGAAGAGGTGTGGCTTGCAGGCAAATCATCAGGTCTTCAATACATCTCTTTTGTTCTCTCACAGTCCCACTCTCTCCTTTTCTCCATGTTTCCTATCACTTTAAATACACTTCGCTGCAGAAACTTACGTCATCGCTAAGACATATTTGCATCAACTTTTAATCCTCACAGTTCTGATTTCAACTGTGCAGAACAGAGACATCTTGCCTTCACAGCAATCCTAAAGGAAAATCTACAATGCCTTTTTGTGCATGAATAACTGAAAACATCATAACTGCCTTATTTTATGCTACCAATATTGTAAACCAAATACCAATCACTTTTAATTGGGCAAAAGAATGGACATAAATGCACATTTATGGTTAACACTGGAAGTTTTTCTACGAAGTTGAAAAGGTATAAAATAATCATTGATCTAAACTGGACTTACTTGTATGCAAGCTTCTTCAAGCTTTCATTCCAACCCTCCAGGTGTTGATCCAAAAGAGCCTGTGTCCTAGAACTTACCTGAAACACGTCTGGCGTACCCAAAACCAGTTCTAAGATCACTACACCAACACTCCACATATCATACCTGTTAAACATAGACATAATGAGAAGCTCCACGAAACTAGTGCATGTAGCATATACAATAGAACAATTATAACAAGGCTGATGTTCTTGTGTTTAATGAATGAAGTCACATTCAGTAAATACCAATCAAAATGATGAACAAAAATCTGGTGGCCTTCAGAATGTCATTCAATTCCAAATTACAGATTCTATGCTTAAAAGACACACATGACAAGTGCAGAATTAATGTTATAGAACAGTGGAGCGTACACTGCATAATAATAGGGCATATAACCAGAACCAAAATTCACAATTAACAAGAAATTGACATACTTCATGGTGGTGGGAGTCAGCCCTTGGTACCAACTTGCATTCAAAAGAGCTTCAGGTGGAGTATATTCATAAGTTTGTTCATCTCTGTTAAAAAAGAAAAGGAAACAGAACTGAGAAAAATAAAAAGAAATATGTAATAATAAAAAAAGGTGGTACAATTCTTCAATATACCACAGAAAAATTGGCTAGAGGAGCAGCAAAGAGATTTTATGACCTATTAACTATACATTCCCCAGCACAAAAAGTAGAGGGCAAACATCACATCATTTAGGTTATCAAAAAACTTCCCTAATGAATTCATGTTCAGCCTATACTTCCAGAGATTTTATGACCTCTTAACTATACTTCCAGAGATTGTAGGAAGGCCTGCGCTTAGCCCATAAATGGTAATGCTCAGCTGGTTATCACAGTGCGTGGAAATGGACAGCTAGTAACCTAACACTAGCAAGAGTAACAGAAGAACTAGAATAAGTGATACACTCCAGAAACCATACACAACATTATGGAGAAGTGTTTTTCTTTTGGGTGGCGTGTCCCATGATATGTCATCCTTGTTGCTTTTGATATCCCACCATCTTTAGATCCACCCATTTAAATAACTATGAGTATGTCCTGTATATGCTCTAAGGTAAGCAGATAACAAGGGTGTGTGGTGGAGCCACTAATTATTGATAGTGTGTGTGTGGGGTTGTCAGTTAAATATACATGCTTAAGTAACATTCAGCCAGAAAACCGAGAGAGAGAGAGAAACATAAAGCTGTCACATGCTCCTCATCTTATATGAACATAGTAGGCAAGTTTATAAAGATGACCAGACCATAACTAGTGGTAGCAAATAAGGAACACAGTAGTATTCTCAATTTAATATTCACTATTGCACATTGATGGTACGCAAACATGACTGTAAATGACGTCTGAATTCTACATCAGGCAAATATGTACAGTCCTTTTTTCTCTTTATCCGAATTTTTTATTATACATAAGGGTGAGGGGAAGGGAAATTCGGTGAGAGGATTACAAGGGTCCTAGCCAACTAACTGGGCTACCATGATTCCCAAATAGGTACATTCTTTGATCCTAATTAGAAGGCATGTTGTGCCAAGACACTCTGAAAGGGAGAATCGAAAACAAAAAGAGAAGTCACCACTCACGAACAAGGATTTACAAGTAAATGCACATTACAAGTTCAAAGTACCTTGATATCATTCAGTTTAATGCAAAAAGGGCTGAAAAGAAAGATTCAGAAAATATAATACCTTGAAGGCCCAATAGACCCATACAAGTGCTTCAATGTGAACTCATCTACTGCGCTACCAAAGTCAATAATACGCCTGAAAATGAATAAGGCCACTAAGAATAGGTTTATAAAGAAAAGAAAGATTCTATAACAATTATTCATCTAATCGAACAGACTATCACTAATAATATATGTGTCAGTCCAATGTGGAACAAATATTTGATGAGTTACTTCATTTAGAGTTTGAATATTCGTGCTTCTCCTATACTCGTAAAGACTTAAATATACAACTTTAAACCTAATCAAGAAAAAAGTAGAGAAACATTCTTTCCAATCCAAAAAAGACAAGTTAAAGAGAATCTATCCCCCCACCCCTACCCGGCCTCATTTTCTTCTCGTCTGAGCCCACTCTTTCATCTCTCTTCCCCAGTTCCCTCACCTCCATCCTGTCCCTTTTTTCTTCTTTATCTTGCCAGACCTCCCACTCTGAGGAAACTACACAATATGATTAGCTTTCACTGAAACTAAAGAAATTCTTGAAACAAGGAAAATATCTATAGAAGTGGAACAAGGAAATTCCTGAAAGCAGGAAAACCGTAGCGTTACAAGATATTTGTTTTAAATTCCTCCTATCCTAAATGGTATCTATAACATCACCTCTATCAACAGAATCCTCTATATAAGTCTGTTTGCACCAAAAAAAAAAACAAAACACAAAAGGCAATTCCATTTGATCTTGTGCACTAAGTTCCTCAAATCCTCAAAACACCTGGAATTCCGTTTCTTTTCAGATTGTCCACCAAATGCTTGCATGGACAATTCTCCATATACTCCTGTCTTCTGCCCGAACTCCTGCTTCCTCCCAACTATGTAAAACTCCAGTGATCTTTCCAAACATTATTCAAGAAATGCCTCTAACACTAATGAAAAGTCTACAATCTGAAAGTTTACCTGGCTCATCATTTTATAAGCATCCCTCACCTTGAATAAGCCAGAGATGTGTTCCTTCCATCTGAGCAAATCAGTCCCCCAGGATTCCATGTTTTGCAAAATTCTGTCACCCTCTGTATCTCCCAGTCATTCAGCATTCTTTTGGAAGTGATAACACATCCTCCATGATCTGTCCTTATTTCTACCATGGTCTTATGTTGATGCACCACTAAGTTCACCAAGTTGAATATGTCTTAGGAATATTTCTTGAAGACTCTCATTCCCTAGCCAGTTGTCTTTCCAAACAGAGCTCTGTTTTCCATCATTCACTTTGATGAATGAGCTGTCCTTCAAAAATGGCCAGTGAGCCCTGATGGATCTCCATAGACTGACCCCATATGGAGTGATAACCCTTTAATCATCCACTAGTCTTCCTCCCCATATTTTATCTTGATGCCTCTTCCCCACAAAAGTTGGCTTTCTGGGATGAACCTCCACAGCCATTTCATCTTCAGAGCCTTGTTTTGTAATTTCAAGTTTCTGATACCTAGGCCACCTTGCTTTTTACCTATAATTACTTCTTTCCACTTGGCCTAGTGAAAGCTTCTATTTTCCTTGTTGCCTTGCCATAAGAAGGACATCTGATACTACCCAATTTCCAGTCATTTATAGCATGGTGATGACAAGATTGCTTGATGGCTGACAGTTTTATGGAAAACGGATGGGAATTTCAGCCTAGGAGAGACTTAAATGATTGGGGACTGGGTGAAGCTAGTTCTTTTTTGCAGAAAATGCAGACAATAATTATTTGAAGAAAACAAGGAAGAAACTTGGGTTTGGCTTGCAAATAACATGGGAAGATATATGGTGAATCCTGGCTATTGATGGTTACAAGATCAGTATCTTGATTCAGAGACATTCTGGCCATGGAAATTGTTGTGGAAACTAAGGCCCCAACCAAAGTTGCATGTTTGGGGTGGGTTGCAGCTTATCATGCTTGCTTGACCAAGGATAATTTGCAGAAAAGGGGATTCAGTATAGATGCTTCTTGTGTGAATTTGCTGAGAATCTCTTAATCATCTGCTGATATATTGCAATCAAACCTGGCAGATCTGGTTTATATTTCTAAATATATTTGGTGTTCTGAGTGATGCCACAAAGCTTTGAGGAATTACTGAACTGTTGGCAAGGACAAAGTGTAACGAGAAAACTGAAGAACAATTGGAAGTCAGTCCTTGTGTATCATCTGGAAAGTATGGCAAGAGAGGAAGAAAAGATGTTTTGGAGGAAAAAAGGAAATGAATGCATTTGTAAAATTTAAATGTTTCCAGAACCTGTTCTGATTTCATGGACCTGTTAGATGCTGTTTTTGTGTAGGTCCTGATCAAGTACGCAATATTTGTCATCTGTACAGTACCTTCTAGGTACTGATTTCCTTAACTAAATTACTTCACTTTACTTTATAAGCAAAAATAAGAAGGTACTTGTTATGCACAATAATCAGCTTTTACTAAGACTTAAACTTTTTGAAAGGAGGTGTTATAGGTAAATTGTTCCTTTGCTAGAATGTTAAGGTCAAATTTACTAACAATCCTCATATTTTTCAAGCATCTCCGTCCTTTGTTACTAATACTCTTGATAGAGATGCGAATGGAACTGCCTCACTTAGATCAGTTCCTTTTTGTATGAATGATCCTTATTAAAAATAAAATTCTTCCGTTATAAGAAAAACAAAATATGTGTATTGTGTTGAGACCAAAAAATAGTCTTGTATTCAGTGGATCATCATATCTTCTCTTTCTTTGTCTTTTACACAGGAGGAAATATTTAATCACTAAATTAAGAAATTCATAGGAGGAAATAAGACCACATTGTCATCACAGATATTAGTTTCATGAAATCCCTGGAAAATAAGAGTTACATTTTCCGCATATGGATAACTTTCCGACACTTGATGAAGTATCAAGATATGGAATCCATAGGACTCTAATAAAATAGCTATGATGCAATGAGGTTTAAACCAAACATGGGGAGACACATTTGAGATCACTCGAGAATCCATACTAAACATCAAACAGCATTTAGCAGTTGTCTATAATGTAGAAGACAACTCAACACAAAAGCTGTGGAAATAATAGAAACAATATTTAGCAGTTATCTATAAAGTAGAAGACAACTCAACACAAAAGATGTGGAAGTAAAAGATAATTGACATACACTTTAGTTATATAATTCTCATCTTCATTCGGATACCCTTTCAAGCACCTCCCAGAATCTTGATCCTCGAAGCAAATGACCATATTCTCTTGCATATAGAATTACAAAGAATACTAGTGTAAGAATTCCATTCTATATATAAAAAATAGTCTCGATATATTATACAAAATTAATGTGGAAAGTCTAAGTCCTTCAGAACAGTGAAAATTTGACTACAGTACTTCACAAGCATAAGGATAGTGGATCCTTTAAATAAACCTTAGAAAGCTCATGAACACAGTTTCATCAAATAAGATGAAAGAAAAAAATAAATCAGAAACCGTATATTAACAAGAAATTCACAGACGTTTATTTAGCATCAAAGAGAAATTAGAAGTTAAGACATGACATAACAGCTGACAAATAAAAATTATAATCAACAACTCGAGAGAAAACCCATATCAGACATTTTTGAAACTTATTTTCAACTAAATTAGACTGGGTTGGCACATTGAAAGCATACCTTTTCTTTTCTTACTGACATACTTTATCGCAGTTACAATAAGACTGTTTCCATCTAATTCTTCAACTGGAGTCTTAACAAAAAGATGTCAGATCAAACTCTACTTCTTCACTTTCAAGGCTCAAAGGTAACTTTCTATTAATTGATATTGATAGCTTAACTATAGGAGTTGAATGATATTGTATTAGTCTTAGAACTCATTGTATAAGTACCCATTCTCATGGGTTGTATATTCATCAAGAAACATAAAGAAACTTTTTCTTCTTCTTGAAATTTTCATGGTATCAGAGCAATTGCTACCTTTTTGAGGTGAGTTATCTGCCTCACACACTAGGGTTTCGTTTTTATCAAAGAGGTCGAGTTTTCTCTCAAGGCAAATATAGAGCTATAATCCAGGGTGTTTGTGAAGTCCAGCAAGACCAAACAAAGCACGTTGAAATTGCTCGATACTTCATCAAAGAAAAAGTTACGCATGATATCTTGAGTTTGGTTCATGTGTCATTGGCAAAGCAACTAACTTATGTGTTTACCAAAGGCCTCATCAAATGAACTTTTCATACACTAACTAGCAAGTTGGGCAAGTGTGCCATCTTTACACCAACTTGAGAAGAGTGTTAGGCTGATACTGGTAGCTTAATAATTATAGGAGTAGAATGATATTTTTTTTTGATAAGATAAGTGGTATTAATAACAGCATCAGGAAGATGCAAAATTTACAAGATATGGCATTTGAGCTTACAAAAAAATCTCTGGCTAACTATACAAACTATCTAAGCCAGAGCTAATGAGTTAGTAAAATCCTAAAGTTGTTCTGCATTAACAGCAGGATACAAGTTGGTCCAACTAAACAAATTTTCAGTGCACCTAGTCTTCAAAATGCCTAAAGCAGTTGACTCTCCATCAAAACATCTCTTGTTCCTCTCTAACCAAATACACCAAAAAATACAAGCAGGTATCATAATCCAGATCTTCTTGATGGCTTTGTCAACTTTCCATAGACTCCAACTCTCATATGCATCCTTAACAGTGAGGGGTGTGGTCCAATTGATGCCAGAGAGACAAAAAAACATGCTCCATAATTCTGAGGCCACCTCACAATGAAGAAGAAGGTGTCTGGGGTTTCAGCCTCTTTTTTGCACATATAGCATCTGTTTGGGAATTGGATTTTTCTTTTCTTTATGTTGTCTTGGGTGAGACATGCCTCATATAGAGCTATCCAGGTAAAAAAAACTACCTTAGGTGGTAGCTTGGTCCTCCAAATGAGTTTCCAGGGCCAGTTAGCTATCACGGGTTTCTAGAGCACAACTGTTGATACCCTTCCTTGACTGTATAAACTCTTTTCTGGTGTCCCCATTTGAGCTTATCACCTGCCTGGAGATTAATGTGACAATGTTGTAGTCTAGCAAAAAGGTCTACCAGATCATTCACTTCCCAATCATGCATATTCCTTCTAAATCTCATATCCCAATTGATCCCTTCTCTATTAGCAGCAATAACAAAATTGGGATCTTGAGCAATTCTAAACAGATCTGGGAAATCCTCCTGAAGAGTGGTATTTCCAAGCCATTTGTCTGTCCAAAATTTTAGGAGTAAACCATTGCCCAATTCAAAGTAAGCGTTCTGATCAAATGTATCCCACAACATCCTAATACTCTTCCACAGTCCCACTCCGTAAGGAAGTGTAGTAATATTTGAGCACCATTGATTCAGCCTTCCATGCTTAGCTATGATGACCTCTTTCCAGAGACCTGCGTCTTCCAAGTTGTATCTCCAAAGCCACTTCATCATCATACTTTTGTTGTGGGCTGCAAGGTTCTTAATGCCAAGACCTCCTTGGTATTTTGGTTGTGTGACCTTCTCCCATTCAATGAGATGAAATTTGTGTTTCTCCCTGTTGCCTTTCCAGAGGAAGTCCCTTCTTATCTTGTCAATATGTTCTATAACCTCACTTGGCATTGGGAGCAAGGCCATGTAATAAGTAGGTAAACTGTCTAGAACACTATTGATAAGTGTTACTCTACCACCAAAGGAGAGATATTGCAATTGCCATGTTGCCAACCTCTTCTCAAACTTTTCAATAACCCCTGTCCAAATTTCAGTGGATTTATGCTGAGCACCCAAAGGAAGACCCAAATAAGTGGAAGGAAATGAGCCAATGTTGCAGGCATGATATCAGCCAGCTCCTCCAGATTTAAAACTTCATTAACTGGGTAGATAGTGCTCTTTTGCATATTCATGTGTAAACCTGAAATAGCTTAAAAAATAAACAAAGTTAGATTAAGCTGCATCACTTGTGATCTTTCAGCACCACAGAAAATCAATGTATCATCTGCATAGAGCAGATGCGATACATTAGCTTGAGATGTCGGATCTCTTCCTATCTTAAATGGCTCAATCCAATGCAAAGAACTTGCTTTCTGAATCATTTTGCCGAGGCCTTCCATTGCCAAGATGAATAAGAATGGTGAAATAGGATCACCCTGTCTAATCCCTCTTTGGGGAGGGAAGAAACCCACAGGTGATCTATTCACCAAGATTAGAATACTTGACTGTTGTGATACTGAATTTCATCCATCTTATCCATCTTTCACCAAACCCCATTTGCCTCAGGATAGTAAGTAAGTATGACCAGCTTACTTTGTCAAAAGCTTTCTCAATGTCTAGCTTCACTAGCAACCCTGGTTCTCCACTCTTTATTTTCCAATCTAGAGCTTCATTAGCAATGAGGGCTGCATCTGATATTTGCCTTCCTCGAACAAATGCATTTTGGCTTCCAGAAACCAATTTTCCAATCACTGTTTTGAGCCTGTTTGCCAGAAGCTTTGATGTTATCTTGTAAATGCTGCTAATAAGGCTGATTGGTCTATGATCTCTGAGCTCAATTGCCCCTTTCTTTTTAGGAATCAAGGATATGAAAGTGGCATTTACAGATTTGACCATGTGGCAATGTTGGTGGTAGTGTCTCAAAGCTTTGATGATCTCGTACTTGATAATCTTCCAGGCATGTTGGAAAAATGCCATGGTTAAACCATCCGGCCCCGGAGTCTTATCAGGAGCACAACTTTTAATAACTGAGAAGATCTCTTCCTCTTCAAACTCCCTTTCCAGCCAAGTACTTTCTGCGAGATTCTAGCTAAATTCTCAAATCTAGCCGATGGTCTCCATGGTTCATTTTCTGTATACAGATGTTGATAGTAGCTCAAAATTTCCTCCTTGATCTCTCTTTTATCCTCAATTACATACTCCACTATTTTTAGCTTATCAATACAATTGTACCTTCTATTAGCATTAGCCACGCTCTGAAAGTACTTAGTGTTCCTGTCCCCATCCTTAAGCCATAAACATCTTGACTTTTGTCTCCATGAAACCTCCTCAATCTTTGCTAATTGTTCTAAATGTGTCTGCAAGTTAATCATTTGAGCATTTTCAGCCTCAGAAAGGATTCTGCCTTCAGAAGATTGTTCTAGATTAGTGAGGTCATTCAAAGCCTGGCTTCTTTGTTCTTCCAACTTCCCAAATACCTCCTTATTCCATGTAGAGATATCCTTTTTTAGATATTTCAACTTTTGTACTAGAACGAAATCAGGACTGCCCCCTACTTCATAGCTACTCCACCAGTTTTTAACTGAATCAAGGAACCCCTCACCCTGTAACCACATGTTTTTAAACTTGAAGTAGGATGAGCTAGAGTCCCATTCCCCACATCAAGCATCAAAGGTTTGTGGTCAGATATTACTCTAGGAAGGGCCACTTGATTTATTGTCTTAAAACTGTCATTCCACTCTGATGAGATCAAGAATCTATCAATTCTCGATGCCTGCAAAAGCTCAGTTCCTCTTGACCATGTATATTGCGCTCCTCGCAGAGGTAAATCCATGAGTCCTAAATCTAGTGTGGTTTCTGAGAAGTTCTCCATAGCTCTAGTCCTTCTATGACAGTTGAATTTTTCGTAGTCAAATCTGCACACATTGAAATCTCCTCCCAACACCCATTGACCATCCCAAGTGCCCCTAATCAAGGCTAGTTCATACCAAAGATCCTCCCTTTCGCTGTTTGTATGTGGTCCATACACTCCTGTATAGCACCATCTGAATTGTTCCTGGATACTCTCTAAAATTACAGAGACTGAGTAGGTTCCTGGTTCAATGTTGACACTTTTCCAGAACCTTTTATCCCACAAAATTATGATTCCCCCCCTGGTACCGTTTGCTTGTAATTCTGCCCAGCTTGCCCATCTATTCCCCCAAAGATAATTGACTAGTTGTGACCAATCCTCAATTTTAGTTTCTTGAAGACAAACTATGTCAGCCTTCCACTTCATTAACAGAGACTTAATGGTACTCCGCTTCCTACTGTCATTCAGACCCCTGACATTCCAACTGAGAATTTTTATTCTCATCTGGATTGTGTTTTGTGACTCCTACCCCTCGCCTTGATTGGTTCAACATCTTGAATTAAACCCGAAGATAACCTTTTTAATTAAGTTACCCCTTTTTTCTTCTTCATCTTCGAGTCACCTTCTGATGATGAAACCCTCTGTTTAGCCTGATCTTGTCTTCGTTGATCCATTCTGAGAATCATGCCCAGTAATTCATGCTCAAATCCGATAGCATTAACGCCGAAAGCTTTGCAAGCCTTAACCATGACTAACTTTGTCCATTTAGAAGTAGAGATGACTGAAGGAGTATGTATAACCTGCTGACCAGGGATACCTTCACCATGCCAAGGAAGATGAAGATGAAAATTATTACGGGAGATGGATGACTGATCTGAGTCAGTAGCAGCATCAATTAGACATGTAATTTGCTTTGGAATTTCAAGAGATTGATCTTGAAAGTCGTGCAAAGATAAAGAATAAGTACTCCCCTCGTCTCCTTCATCATCCGCTTCACAGTTGCTATGGCAGTCAAAGTCCTCATTATCGAACACCACTCGCTGTCGTTCTAAGGCTTGTAGTTCAAAAGTAATCGGGTCTAGAAACTCCCGAGCAGGAGAACATCGTGAGTTAAAAATACAAGGATCCTAGGCCCTGGGTGTCTAAGTAAGATTGAAATCCTGGAATCTCCAAGTTATTACTCTTATGTCTCAACCACTCAACCGTCATCTTTGGGAATACAGGCTCAAATGTAACATAAGAACTACAGAAAAATAAAGATACACAAAGAAAAGAGTATTGTCCTTCAATTCACTTTGGTTGGCATAATCAAGAACATATATTTCTTTTATTTCTGATGCTACCTTTACTTCACCCTCTTTCCTTGCGAGTTACAGAGAGTAATACTCCAAAAGTCTTTTGTTTTGAAGCAACATCCTCCTCTTCCAACTGTAATATATCTTCTAATACCAACACAGTTGTTCTCATCGGTTATACTGAACAAATTTCAGATACAAAAGGCCAGCAGGAAAACAACTTCTTTAGTACATCAGAGTCTATAATCAGCTAAATGCATACGCTGTAGTCTCCTTATATAGCTGTGAATCCTCATCGAGCTAACTTTTGGGGTTTAATTACACGTAATGTCTATTTTCTCAATATGGTACCGGGGAAGGTAAAAGTTCTTGGTTTAAATCTCATTACAACCCTTTATTAAATAAATTTCACGTGCTTGACCCATTAAAAGAAAAACACTCTCGCATGTGAAGGGGTGTTGAAGACATAATTAAGTAAATAAAGGTGTTCCCTATTTAATAGCTTAATCTTTTAAATGAGATGGTCACACAATTCAATATGCTATTGATATCGGCTATACAATATTGGGTCACCCATATTATGTTTCTCCATGCTCCATATATCAGGCCTTAGCATGAGGGGCCGAGTTAGAATCCTACACGGTTAATTATATGGATTATAGTCTCCTTATATAGTCTTGGACAATCCTCCACTTGAACTAGCTCTTGGGGTTGTGTTAGGCTCAAGATTTATTTTCTTAGCAGATATTATACTTAAACTGATGCAAAATGTTGTGATGTGTAATTACACTGTGTCATTGCCCAAAATCTTCATTTTAAAACACCCTGAAGGTGAGAAGGGTCTTTTCCCTGAAACCATTCAGTTTATCTCTCTTATTTTCTTATTTTGTTGCTCAATCTGAATTTCTGCTTAACTGTGAGAATTAAGAATTCGATTGTGGCCTTAGCTATATGTAAACATCAGATAAGTAGTCTTTGCCACCACTCAAAAGAAAAAATGTCAGCTATTAAAATAGAGTACATTTTCCTATCCTTTTTTTACCAAAGGCTTTTTCAATTCTTAACTGGCAAAACGGAGCTAAACTTGGCTGAAGCCTGATTATACATTACCCACAGGTATTCACCGATGTGTAACAGAGCAGGAGACCCTTTCCACAATAAGATGTGAGCACTACACATAGGACCCTTCAACATACAGCATATCAGTGGATACAAGACGGTCCCAAAAAAAAACAGCTTAGATAACACATCACTACCACACAGATAAAGCAACATTATCTTTCCTTTCTCAGATAGAAACTAGTACAGAAATTTATGTACAAATAATGAAAAACTCTCACCAGGTTTTATATCTCTATGGGTGATATTGCGATCATGACAAGACTTAAGTGCCATCAACTGCATAGAACAGAAACATAGAAATGAACAGCCTCATGAAGAAAATGGAAGATCGTTAGTCAGGATGGAAGAAGATACTTGAAAGAAAACAGTGCAAGCAAAGTTACTAGGTAAAACATGATATTCTAGTTATTAGTAGTTACTTTCAATTGAATATCAAGTTTTCACACAAGAACCCCAACATTCATTACTACATGACCTAATTCTAGATGATTAAACTTGCAGCAATAATAGTGTAAACAAGAACATTTTGGGGCACTAGGTTGACAATGTAACAACCCTCAGAGAAATGTTTTGCAAGCATGTGGAAATATTTGCAGCCACCTCAACATGGGAAAGCATGCTCCTCAACAGTATCCATGTGAAGTAGAAAAACATTAACAATCTAATCTAGAATAATAGCACCATAACTGCGTATACTATAGAAAACATCAAATGAAAGACGTGATTTGCAACAAAGACAAAGGATGGAAAAGCTACAAGAGATTGTGTATCGTATCAAAATCCAATGATCAAGGAACAACATCTCAACAAGTATTTATTGCGGAGAAATAAAAACAATGTTAAAGAGGGATGTAGCATATCATGAAAATACCAATTGCCAAATCAGATTACGCATTTCCTCTCGCCCTGCTTCTGTTGTCTTCAACCGTTTCCACCATTTTGATGGATGTAATATCTGAATATGCTTTATATTTTCATTTCCTCCATCCGAATCATTTATCACTTCTTCAGCTGTATAGAGAAGCTTTGATAAGGATATCCCTTCATGGCGAAACACAAGCCATATCTCATTGGATCGAGACTCGAAAGACTCCACATATCTGGCAATGTGATTAAGACCATCCTCAAAGGCAGTTCTCCGCATATCCTCCTTTTTACCATACACTTTGTCGAACCTCAAGGTGCTTTGCCTTTCTAGATCCGCTGATTCATGTATTCTCACAGGATCATGCAGATCAGGTCTTGCATTTAGCAAGAGGGAATTTGATTCTTCAACTTGTAGTGAACCTCCAAGAACAGTATAAGCATTCAAGAAGAGTTCACCAAAATATTTCTCCCGTAGCCCACTTAAATAGACAGCAGTGCCTTTCTCCACCTGTTTGCAGTTGCTAGTTTAATAAACAAAAAGACTTTGATAACCAAAAAGCAAAACTGAATACCAGTCTCATATAAATCCAACAAAACGTCTTAAGAGGATACTTTTTAAAATGTAGGTCTACCAGTAAACAAAACAAAATCAAAACAACCAAAGAATCAAAGTGTTAAGCTAACCTAAAAAGGTAAGAAAACAACTTAAAACCAAGGTACAAGAAAGGCAGAAGAAAGGAAACCTAAACGAATGATAAAAGAGATCACCACATACTATACACTCTAGCAAGATTCTACGGAACAATTAGAGAAAATCTGAAACAGATGCATAAGATAGAAATAGTTTTTCAGAAGAATCCGAACTAATGCCAAGAAAGTACTGAAACCAGATAACTTAAACAACAAACTCTGATTTACACAAGGAGATCATACATGTCGAAGAAACTTGTTTCTTTTCCTTGTTTAAATTCTTCCTGGCCTATGACAATGGTTATGGGCATAAAATAGTCTACATCCCCAGCAGGTGTACCATATAAGCACCATGCAGCCATCTGAGGTAACATACAACATTGCATCACCGAAAAAGTGAGGTTCACAGCATGTACTCTACGCATTACATAGTAGATCTAGCCCTACCAAGCGACTACTATTATTCAAATCCAACAAAACTAGACATTTCAGTTCTAACTGCTAAACCAACCGCCATGATGTGAACCCAATTATCTCAGAAACTAGCCTGTTGGTCTTCTGAAAACAAACATGTTTCCAATTGGAGACATTTCTGGTTTACTAAACCATTCCAAAAATGGAGCGTCCCTTTTTTTTCCTTGAATTATTTTATTTATTTTTTTCTAAAATGGTTTTTGTTAATATACAAAGAGAATATGTTTATAGACTCATACTATTGGGAACGTTTATAAAATATAAAATAAGGAAATTATTCGTTTGTCAGTGCCTCTTCCTCATGTTTTTTTTTTTTCCAAAATGGTTTTTTTTTTTTTTTTTTTTTGTGCAGACGTTCTAAGATGCTGGAATATGGATGGTAATGTGAGCAAGAAGGAAGAAAGATGGAAGATTGTCCCGGCATGCGTCTGGTGGTCAATTTGGATTGTGAGGAACAAGAGGTGCTTTGAGGGGACTCAAAACAACATTCATAGTCTTAAAATGAATTGTTTAGGCCTTTTTTATTTTTGGTGTGAGCAAAAACTATTAGCTCAAACAGAAGATATTTCTGATGTTTTAAACTTTTTAGGCTTACCTATACCCTTCCTCAAGCCTTCAATAGCCAGCCTCTTGCACCTACTCACTCGGGAATCCACACATCTTCTCTTCACATGTCTGAACTATCGCAACCTTACTTTCCACATCTAATCCTCCACGGGGGCCATCCAACCTTGGCCCGGAACTTCATTCCTATTCTTATCCTTCCTGGCGTGCCCACACATTCATATCAGCATCCTCATCTCAATTACTCTAATCTTCGGTCTAACTACCACTCATAGAACTTACCTTTTAGTAATGGCGGCACATTCTTATCATACAAAACACCGGAAGCAAGCCTCTGTTTCATCCACTCTACCCCAATACGATGCGTGACATCCTCCTCAATCTCCCAATTACCTTGGATAACTGACCCTAGGTACTTGGAACTAGCTTTCTTGGAGATGACCTGAGTTTCGAGCATCACTTCCACGTCCGCTTCATGGAATGCGTTACTGAACTTGCACTCTAGGTACTCAATCTTGGTCCTGCTCAACTTAAAACCTTTTGACTCCACGTTCTGTCTAGACCTCCAGCCTCACTTTAATGTCGCTTTGCATATCTTCAACAAGAACTATATCATCTGCAAATAACAAGCACCATGACACCTCCTCTTGAATGTGTCGCATAAGAGCATCCATTGCCAAGACAAATAAAAATGGGCTAAGAGTAGATCCCTAGTGCAATCCCATCAAGACTGGAAAGTGTTCCGAGTCGCCTCCCACAATCCTGACCCAGGTTTTAGCACCATCATACATATACTTAATCTATCCCGGGATGTGGAGCGGGAAAACAAGCAAACAGGTTAAATCACCCCAATATACATTGTACCATGCTCAGGTATACAGCTTGAAATTGCAAAGCAGAATGAGATTGCTGGAGCCTGACAACATCAACTAAGTTGAAGATTTTGGTCTTGACTTCATATAGACTAATTCTTCCACAAAGATTATCAATGCTTGAGTCATCCATAAAGCATCACTGCTTGAGAAAAGTGGGAAAAGAGCTTGTGAAGGTCATTTACCTGGAGCGTCAAAGGTGGGAAGGGGAATATGACAAAAGAAAATTCAAATGCAAATGTACCTAATCGACATGAAGACCACTGGTTTTAAATTTTTGAATGCCATCAACCGTCATGAGGTAAGGATAAAAGATTAACCAGCATGATCAAACCAAATCTAAGAAATATTCTGAAGATCCAATTCCAGGATATAAAAAATACCATGATACGCTTCAAAATGAACATGCTGCCTTTGGAAGGGCCATCATCACAGACATCAGCAGATGATGGGTTCTTCCTTGTTTCATTATTAGCCCCTTCATTCATAGTATTGGCTGAAAAATTGCTTCCTTTTGGAGACTTGATGACATGAGAACAATTCCAATAAAAAGCTAGCCAAACTTCACCATAAGATCCACGATCATATTTCTTCTTTAGAATGTACCTTGTTATATAAAATTGATTCAACATAAAAAGAAAGTATAGATCAAGTATATATCATAAGGAAAGCAAAAGATACAGATAATTTAGAATCTGCACAGAAGCTTTGGAACAAATAATAGGATGAAGACATGCACTGATCAAAAAGCCATACTGATCAAGCATAAAGACAAAGCAGATGAAAAATAAGCCATATATCAGAGAAGTGGAAACAGAAGTATAATAACATAGAACTCATGACCACAGTTTTAACAAGTGAGAGGTAAACATTTCCAATCAATCCAAATAAAATTATCTGTTAAATCACGCATCATATGATTAGATGGTGTTACATGAGCAGATTGCTGATCAAGAAAAACAATAGTAGAATCCATTCAGATAGAATATGCTAGTAAGTCCATGGACCACTGTGTCATAAGGAGAAAACGTCATAGTATATCAGTGTTAGCAGTGCAATTCATACAGAGACTAATATATGCTGCAGATCATTTTACAAGGATTATTACATAGTGGATGCAACATTTACGAACCAAACAATTCGTCGAAAAGTACCTAGAATCTGCTCTGGCATGATCATTTGTACTGCTATCATTGAATGGAATAGATTCAAGCAACCCAAGGAACCTTGCAAAGCCTTCAGGATTAATGCACTGATCATTATTATCACTAAAGTTCATCCCAAAGTGCATGCACATGTGCTGATCATTATATAGATCCAAAGCTCCACCTACAATTAACAAGGCAAGTGGAAATTAGTTCTTATGTTTCATAGCAGCTTCGCTGATAATGGACTTCAAATGTGGTCTAGCCATTTCAGAGAAGTCAACAGCGAAATTACAGCAGTGGAGCTTAGTAATGAACAAATATCAAGAGAATAAGCAGACAATTAGTACAGATAACAAAGAATGAACAATCACATCACCAAAGCACACAAGTTTCACTGTTTACCTTGACCAATGCTATCAGGTAAAGCATGGAGAAGCTCATGTTCATATTCATCGATGTCCTTCTGAACCCAGAAGGTATACTCATCATTAACATCAAGGTTCTCGGATAGATAGAAACATCCAAAGTTGCCGTGGTTTCCTTCAACCTGAGACAAGTGGAAGAATTCTTGTAACCATTAGCATTCATGTAGGTGAGAGCAGAAATGCTTGCAGATGACTCGGCATAACAGTCCATAAATTTCATCAACTTCTCAACAAATATTGATGCCCACAGTTAATGGAGATATCACATTTAAATACAGTGCTGATACAGTCAAATAGACTGAATGCAGATAGCAGGGACTGTAGAGGTAATCATTTCATTCACTTTGTAGGTAAAGAAACTAAAGACTAATTACTTATCCCAAGTAATGAGCTCAAGAATGGTCGATGTTCAAATGAACAGACAAAGATATCAGTCTTCATTTTGAAAGAAGATCATAACCAAGATAGAGAGAAAAACACAACAGAAACTTCTCGTAATGACAATGATAAAGGAACTTTTTATGAGAGTTGTGTTTTTTTTTGGATAACACAGAGCAATCAAGATCTTTGGACATCTAGTTTTTTCAATAGAGGAATTGGTTTGGAACATATAGTTTCTCATCTTGTCGCGGGCTTCACGTTCTTTCCATCTAACTATAATATCCATGTATCATTGAAAAAAACTAGGTGATTCTCTTTTCATTTGCCTCAGCATTGATGGGCAAAGTTATCGGTACCTGTATTGGGGAGGTAGCAAGTGCCCAGTGGAATAGTCAAGGTGCACATAAATTGCCCAAACACCAACCTACATATTAAAAAAGATCCCTATCTCATTTCTGACACTACTTAATCCTCAGATTGTTTGTTTTGTATCTTTGGGGAGACATGCAGAGCACTCTCCACCAGACAACCTTCGATCTGTAGGAGAAGTCAACAAGGATAGATTTTGTGAGTTCACTTGTTTAGAAGGTTGTTACATATTGTATTGTATCATATTGTTACTTTAAATACAAAGTTTATTTTGATGTTACTTTTATTTTATTGTATCATATTGTTAGTAAGTTATTACGTAACAATGAAACGTGACATTTTATGTTACGAGTTGCGTCGTTACCTTCTTTTTCTTTCACATCTTGCCTTTAATTTTCATCTAATAATTTTATTTTACCCTAACTTTTTTAAAATAAAAATAACTCTACCTGTGCCCTATTTTTTCTTTGTCTATTGTACTTTATTCTTCAGATTACTGGTACGTGGCACTATAAAACGACCAAAAAACAATACGGTTTATCCAAACAATGTATTAATCAAAATAGTATAGTACAATACTGTTAATTATGGTATTATTGGATAGTGTAGACATGAGAATATTTAAATATGGTATGATTAGATAGTGTAGATATGAAAATATTCCTTAATCCCTTTCATTAGGCAGGCAGTTAGGAGATTGAGTATTATTTTATTAGTTTCTTTGCTTATTTACATTATTTGTAACAACTATTTAATCCCATCAACTTGAGGGAATAATCAATCAATTCAATTTCCAATATCTCTTCTTCTTCTAATTTCTCATGGTTTCAGAGCTACTGTTTTTAGCAACATAAACTGAAAAAAGAAGAAGAGGAGGGATCAATCAATTGGTTGCTAAATCAACCATATTAGAGAACTGCCGAGTTTTATCTCTCTCTTTCTATAGTACTTTTTGTGACAAATAAAGTGGCTCATAATGGAGATAGTATTCTACCTACACTTGATGTCATATATGAATCATTTCAATCTACCACTTTAATCGGAGCAGACTATAATAACTACCTTCAGTACCAAACATCAAGGCAACAATAATCAACTGCTTGCAAAATACAACCTGGTAACTCATTTGCTTATGTCATAGTCTCCATCTCAAGAACAATGGATTCCTAATTTTGGTGCCTCTGACCATATTTCTGGTAACAAAAACACTCTCTCTCTACTCCTACTATCCCTTCTACATCTCTACTGTTACTTTGGCTAATAGATCAAAGACTATTGTAAAAGGGATAGGTATAGCTCATCCTCTGCCTTCCATACCTTTTAAAATCAATCCTTGTTGCACCTGACTGTCCATATAATCTTATTTCATTAGCAAAAACCCTGAAATGCGTTGTAACCTTCCTTGATGGTTCTATTCTTGTGCATGATTGAAGTACGGGATAGGTGATTGAGAAAGACATGAGTCACAAGGATTGTACCTGCTCTCTATCCCAACACCACATGTTTTTTCATTTCCGTTGTTTCTTCTAAATTGTTCCAAAGTCAATGGGTCATCCAAGTCTCTTGAAATTGCAAAAGATGGTCCCCAGTTTATCTTTGTTAGAATGTGAGTCGTGCCAGCTTGGGCAGCACACTCGTGCCTATTTCCCAAAGTGCGTCAATAATAGGGCCACCTCTGTGTTTGAAATCGTTCATTCGGATATATGATGTCCAAGTCGTGTCGGTTCTTCCTTAGGCCTTCATTATTTTGTTACTTTTATTGATGACTATTCTCGGTGCACGTGGTTATTTTTACTGAAAAATATATCAGAGCTATCCTCTATCTTTCAGAAATTTTATGCTGAAATTCGCAATCAATTTGATATTTTCATTAAGAAGTTAATCAGTGATTATGCCCGAAAATACTTCTCTACTTTTTTTTTTGTCATCCCAAGGCGTATTGCACTCGTCTTCTTGTGTGCATACTCCTCAAACAAAATGGAGTATTTGCGCGAAAGAACAAATATTTGATTGAAACTGCTCGAATATTGCTCATTCACAATCATGTCCCTTTATATTTTTGGGGTGATGCCGTTATTACTGTTTGTTATTTAATCAATCGCATGTCTTCATCAGTTTTGCACTACCACAGTCCTCACTCAGTCTTCTATCCGGACCAAAATTTGCTTCCCTTTCCTCCACGTGTGTTTGGTTGCACTTGTTTTGTTCATAACCTTACCCTCGAAAAAGATAAACTTCAGCACAAGGCTTTTAAATCTATCTTTCTCGGGTATTCTCGTCTACAAAAAGGTTACAAATGCTTTGATCCCTCTACCAATAAGTATTTGATCTCTACAAATGCTACTCTTTCTGAGACTTATCTGTATCTTTCTCCTAATACGGGAAATCGAAATGTCATATCCATCCTTCCGGTTCCAACTATTCCAATCCCTGCTCCACCTCCAACTCTTAAGGTCTATTCCCGACAACCTCAACCTCCTTCTAAGCTTGCTAATACCAGTTAGTACTTCTAACCTTGATACAGGTACACAACACCATCATGCTCCACCAATGTCTTCTGCCAGCACTTATCAGATGATCTTCTCATTGCTCTTCGCAAAGGTACCATAACTATTTCCAATCAAACTACCATTTATGCTTATTTAAGTTATCATCGTTTGTCACCTTCATATCATGCCTTCATTACTAGCTTATCAACAATCAAAGTTCCAAAGTGGTTCATCCAAATTGGCGTCAGGTTATGATTGCGGAGATGACTGTTTAGCATGATAATGGTACTTGGGAGCTTGTTCCTTTACCTCAAGGAAAAATCACAGTTGACTGTCGTTGGGCATTCACAGTTAAGGTAGGTTCGGATGGAGCTATTGATCGTCTCAAAGCGAGACTGGCAGCTAAGGGATACACTCAGATTTACGGCATCGATAATGGAGAATAATTTCTCACCAGTTGCTAAAATGGCTTCTATCTGTCTTCTCATCTCTATGGAAGCAATGTATCATTGACCCCTTTTTCAGCTGGACATCAAAAATGCATTCCTACCTGGAGAACTTGTTGGAAAGATATATATGGAGCAACCACCAAGGTTTGTTGCTTAGGGGGAGTCTAGACTAGCTTCTAAACTTCATGGATTCTCTATGGTCTCAAGCAGTCTCCTAAAGCATGGTTTGGTCGTTTTCAAGTTGTTGTCCAACAGTTTGGAATGATCCAAACAGAAGTTGATCACTCCATATTCTATAGGCATTCATCTCATGGCAAACATATCTTTTTAATTATTTATGTTGATGATATTGTTGTCACAAGAAATGATCATGAAGGTATTATGCAACTCAAACAACACCTCTAAGGATTTGGGAAAGCTGAAATACTTTTTAGGCATTGAAGTGGAATAGTATGGTCATGGCAATGCCATTACACAAAGAAAATATGTCTTTGTACATTTTGGAAGACGTTGGTATGTTGGATTGCAAACATGTGGACAATCCCATAAATCCAAATACTAAGCTTATTCCAGGACAAGGGGAGCCTCTAAGAAATCCTAGCAGATGTCAGAGATTTGTTGGCGAACTCAACTATCTTACGATCACGTGACCAAACATCTCATTTATTGTTATTGTAGATAGCCAATTTTTGCAATCACCTTGTGATAGTCACTGGAATGGAGTGATTCGCATCCTGTGATAAATCAAAATCTCTCCAAGACAAAGTTTATAGTATAACAATAAGGGACACACCACGTTGTTGGATATTCTGATGCAAATTGGGCAGGATCTTCTTCTAACAGGCGGTCCACTTCAAGTTATTGTGTTCTAATTGAAGGCAATATAAAATCATGGAAAAGTAAAAGAGCAAGTTGTCATGATTGGATCGAGCGCAGAGGCAGAGTATCGAGCTATGGCACTAGCTACGTGTGAGCTTATATGGTTGGGACAACTTCTCCAAGAATTGAAGTTGGGAGGAGTTGAACGGATGACATTGATTTGTGATAACCAAGCTACACTACATATCACTTCCAATGCCGCGTTTCATGAAAGAATGAAACACATTGAGATATATTGTCACTTTATTCAAGAGAAGACTGAGTTTGGATACATCGCCATGAGTTTTGTCAACTCAAAAAGATCAACTGGCGAATATTTTCACAAATCACTTCGAGGATAAAAAATTGACTATATTTGTGGCAAACTTGGAGCACATGACTTATACGCTCCAGCTTGAGGATGAGTTTTATTATGGTATAATTGGATAGTGTAGATACGATAATATTTAAATATGTTACGCAAATCAAATATGAAAAAGTAATCACCAAAAAATATACGGTGCTACATAAATCAGATATGAGAAAGTAGTCATCGAAAAGATGCACGATGCTACGAATATGAGAAAATAGTAACCGAAAAGATGACACGGTGCTAAAGTTATGAGAAAGTAGTCACCAAAAAGATGATATGGTGCTATGCAAATAGAATATAAGAAAGTAGTCACCGAAAAGATGGCATGGTGCTACACAAATTAGATATAAGAGACTTGTCACCAAAAGCATGACACGGGGCTACACAAATTAGATATGAGAAATTAGACATCAAAAAAATGGCACGGTGCCACACAAACATTGGCGGATTTGGGGTTGAAACAAAACAGTCACAGAAAGTCGCCGAAAATTGACACACGATGACATATCTAGCTAAGTTTTCTTCCCCTGAATATGGGGTTCATGCATATATCATTGTCCCTACTTTTGTGAACATAACCATTGATCGTACGGGAGGCATATATGGGTCATAGCCGCCCGCCGACAACGCAAGCTCTTTGATTCTTTACCAAGATCGTAGAAACTATGATACCATGTGAGAAATATAGGAGAAAAAATATTATTGAATTGTGTATCTATATTTTTACATTGAAATCCTATTTATAGACACTACATTACTCCTTTTCTAACTAGGACACAACATTACAATATTTTTCCAAGTAAGATTCTATATATTATTCTTATTCCTATGCCTACCCTAAGTGGGATTGTATATTCTATTCTTGTTCCTATACTTATTCTAATTTCTACCCGTTGTTCCTAAACTCTTTCCCAATTTGCTATCTGATTAAGAATGTCCTCCTTCCCATGCTTTCGGCTCCCCCTATGGTCCTTGCTCCACTCCAATTTTTCTTTTCACATTTTCAACTTCTCAGCTACTACATATCCTGCTCAAGCATTCACCGAGAAAGACTTCCACGATTCACTTGCCTTATCTTTAAAGCCCTCCACTTCCAGCCACTATGTCTCAAATTTAAAGTAAGACTTGTTCCAATCCCAATCTCCCCATGTCATTTCAATAGGGTCATGATGTGAAGTTATTTTAGGTAAAATATTTTGTTTGATGTGACCAAAACTTTCCCCCATTGTGCACAGTGGAGAAATCTGTCAATCCTTGATGCACTTCTATGGTCCTCCCCTCTTCTCCAAGTGTATGATCCTCCAAATAAAGGAGGATCAACCAATTCTAGTTCCTCAATACAAGAAGAAAATTATGTCATAGCACGACTAAGCCTATAGCAATTTGTTCTCTCTGATGGGTACCTGGAAGTCACTAGAGACTACCCATGGCCCATTGAATCTGTTTCTAGTAACTTCCAATTCTTCTCATAGCACTCTTCTGGTCTCTCCGTTACAATCTGCATACACTGCACTGAGATGCCTACTATGTCTTCATTGACTCCCACTCTCCACCGATTTTCCCTTTCCAGACTCTTTTGTCCCAAAGAATTAGAATTCCCCCACTACTCCCAAGTCCCAAGTGCCCCCTTATGAATTTCCCCCAGCCATCTATTGCTTCATATGCTCTGCAATATGCCCAGGGTCCATTTTATTATGGTGCGAGCGCCAAGGATCTGAATCCCTACTCCTAAAAATAGTTTCCTCTCTCTTGTCTTAAAGTTCTTTTACTTTTTCTATTCTAATTAATAACAAAGTTATTCACTTCTCCAACAAAAAAAAAAGTGAACTTTTTCTTTTTCTTATTCCCACACAAAAGTAAAACAATTTTTCTTCTCCTTTTTCCCACAAAAGAATGGTGGTTCAGACCAATGGAGTTGGAACCCTGCCTTCATACCCTGACTGGGGAGGATAATGAGGAATATCTCAGTACCAAATTGTAAAGCCACAGTTATCATCCTCGTCTACAGGCAACTTCCAACTAGTAGGGTTCCAAATTGTAAAGCAACAGTTATAAGCCTTTTGTGTTTAAACTCATAATCAATTTGGTGTTCCAATTAGGAAATTTAATCAAGAGAGTAATTTTCTGCACCTATCTCTTCTTTTGTCTTCACAAGGTATTCTGCATATGTCATCAAGTGAAACAAAATGGAGTTGTTGAATATAAATATCGGCATTTCACCCAGACAACTAGTACATTGCTAATTCGTACTCATATTCAACTTCGTTTTTGGATTGATCTTATTCTGACAATTGTTACCTAATCAATCACATGCCTTCCGCTGTTTTGCAGAACAAGAGTCCCTATTATATACTTCGTTCAAAACAACCTCAGTTTCCTCTTTCTCCACGAGTGTTTGAGTGTACCAGCTTCATCCAAGATCTCACCCCCAAAAATGGCATGCTGTAGGTGAAGTCTGTCAAGTGTATCTTCTTGAGGTACTCCCGTCTCGAAAAATGTTACAAATGATATGATCCTATTACACATAAGTACTTTGTCTCAGCTGATGTAACCTTTTTCTAGACATCCCCTTGCTTCTCACCAATTCACAATATCAAAACACCATATCCACGATTTTTCCCATTTCAACTCCAAAATTTCTTACTCTAGCTCTTCTCCTACTCTAGACAACCTCGATCAGACCCTCCACCAGCGAATCCAACTGATATTTCTGTCTACGAATGTCAAATGGGTGAGTCATGTCATATTAGGACAGGTCAAAACATATTATGTCAATAAATGGGTCATAACCCAACCCACCCAAAGCCAGTTTGGATCAAAATGAGTTGGGTTAAGATGGGTTGAATTGTGGATCATAATGCTAATCGGCCAATAATTACTCAAATTGAAGCAACACTATGCAACATCTATTTAGGTAATATTAGTAGCAAATTTTTTTTATTTTTTTTGATGACAAGGGAAACCCGCAGCCGCTACCCTTTGGGTGCGCACGGGGTAAAACCCCTGCTCTTATGCAATAGCTCGCAAACCACATAGGAGAGGTAACCCGCACTAGGCAAGCCTGGTGCGACGAGCTCGACCCAGAAGGTAAACCCCTTGCTTTCGCTGGCAAGGGGTTTTGAACTTGAGACCTCCAACATGGAAGTCCCAAGCTCAAACCACTGGGCCACCCCAAAGGGTTTAGTAGCAAAATCTTCTTTCTTCAATGCATTAACAGGGATGATAGCACTAGCAGGACAGATCATGCAGCACTGTAGATGAGTGCATGCGTACGTATGAGCTGTCTAACAAATTTTTTTTGATCCATGGATTTGTTTAATTCACTATAGTTAACTTGAAATGAAAGAATGCCCCTATGTTTGCAGAAGATCCCTCCAATCCATTCCTTCCCCTGGTCTTTCACCCCATTGATGAAGATACTGCACTATACCTCTCAGGCACACCATTAAGTTGGACTATTGATAGCTGAACTAGCAGACTGTCGCGAAATGCCCAGCCAGCCACCCGACAAGCAATTTGTAATACTACATCAAATAGGAGAAGTAAATGCATCAAATTACAAAAAAGTATCCTCAGCTCCCAGCCCCAAAATCAAGAGGACCCAGTAGCAAATAGGAAACATCAACCCAGCTGCTAGCAGTCTTACCAATAATCTGCCAAAATTGGAATCAAGTTGATGATCATCCTCCTCCTCGCTAAACACTGCAATAGTTCTAAATAAGATGAGCCAAGTCCAAGACAATCACACTACGAAATAAAGATATGAAGGATCATAGTCTTGAGTAAAAGGCTACCTTGAAGCCAAGTCCAAGACAATCACACTATGAAATAAAGCTATGAAGGATCATAATCTTGAGTAAAAGGCTACCTTGAAATAAACGCATAAAAAATAGAGATTTACAATAATATATTATTATTATTATTTTATTTTATTAGAGATCTACAATATTATTGTCTTTTAAGAACTGTGCACCAAGGAAATTTACGATCAAGTCAAGAATACAATAATGGATGATTCACCAAATACAAAATGAAACTAACTCAATTCAGTTAACTAAATTTTGCAGCTCAACCTACAAATTTAGAGGAAGAAAACCAAAAAACAATGTTTTGAGAAGTAATTTCATCTTTACTCCAAAAGATGAAGTTAACACTCAAAGCTAAATCAATGGTGGGGTTTCTCTATTAAAAAAAGGGAAATAAAACGAGTATGATCCTTGAGAAACTGACATAATGAATATGCAGGAACAAGAAGCTCAAAAATCAGGAAATTATCAACTGCATGATTAAATTTTGAAAATATAGTCCAATGCATGCGTCCCCCTTTTAAAACATAGTGCCACATTAGGACTCTCTTTTACATGTTATCCATTGTTTCACACACTCTTAGGTTTCATTTGTTTCACTTATGGAGTTCTGAATTTGAATCATCCAAATCTCAGTTCATTAAGTGAATTTTTAGTCTAATCTATTCAGATTTTGTACATAGATTTAAAATAATTGAAGCGTTCAATAAATGATTTTTGTGAATGGGAATTTTTATTACTAATCTATCTATTACCACCACCGTTAACCTTCATTGTACAATCACTGTTGTTAGATAATCAGTGTGCATAATAATATATTAATTTAGTCGTCATGCATCCTTCCCAGTGACTGTTCAGATCTTATTTGCAGCATTCCTCTTTTGGTAAGTGTTGTGTGAAAACCAACACTATCATTGGGTTACTCAGGCTCCGGCAACAAAAGCTCAGGCAGCCCCACTGGAATACTAATTCTCACACACTTTCATGCACCAAACAGAGGGACTATCTTCTGGAGAGCATTTTTTTTTTTGTTGTAGTGCGATGTTGGAGCAGCTCCTCAGGAAATATGAACACTTTAAGGTAGGGACAAGCCATTTTTCGGCATTGAATCTGGTCAGGAAGAACAAGTTGTTCCGATTCTGGGGAAAAGATTCATCTTCCAATTTTCTCATATCATGGCCCGGCGCATGAGTCACTTTCCGGCAACTTTCAGACTTCGTTCTTTAGTCCGTGGGGACCGTCTTGTGGTTCCGTACCCATCCATACCATTTTTTACAATTCCAACCACTTATACTTTCCCTGATGAGTTTTTCGGTGAGTTCCAACAGTGTTGCGACTATAATTTTCCTGCTATGTTCACTGTGAGAATCTGACCTGACCCATCTCGATTCTAACCACCTCCAATGCCACCAGCAGCTTTTCCACCAGTTTTCACCAATTCCAACATCTCATTTTTCTGGAAATCCTGTACTGAGGCTCGCCTGAAGCTATTGCTTACAATCTTCTGTTAAGTTGAGGTGCAAAGGTCAAGGTAATCACAAAGGCTAGTGAAGTTGATGAAAAGGCCCATGTACAGTTGAAGAAGGTTGACACTCAACTATGTAGTCTCTTGTGGAGATCTATCAATTCCAAATAGTTCACCTTTTTCATCCATTCCAGACATATTATTCAATTTGGAAAAAGGTTCACACTTTATACAGTCATAACAAATCTAGTTTTATGATGTGATATCTTGAATGACAAACTTAAAAAATTAGGAATTGGATACTCTACTTACTTGGGACAAGCACAGGCAGTCGTGAAGAAAAACGATAAGCTGATGCCAGTTACTGCAAGTGTTGATAAAACAACAAAAACAACGACAAAAGATGTTTCTAGTTCTCTTACACTTGTTGGACTTTCTAATAACCTTGATTCAGTACATGACCAGATTTTGGCCTATCCAACTGTTCTATAGTTGATGAAGTATTCTCTCAATTACTTCATCTTGTTGCAGCACCCAATCACATAATGATCTCATCACAAGTAGTAGATTCCTAAGTTCTCGCATATCAGACAATGGAAACTCTTGACCCAAGTGCAGTTATTGTTGTAGACTTGGCCACACTCTTAAAGTATCTTGTTCTCTGCATGGTCAACCACCCAAAAATGCACACGTTGCTCAAACTGACACTACAAGTAATCAAGGGTTTTCTTTATCTAAAGGGGAATATAATGAGTTCCTTTATTATAGAGCAAGTAAGCAAACATTTCCATAAGTAGCCTCTGTTGCTCAGAATGATACTTTATTTGTTGGTAATTCTTTTGCTTGTGTTTCACAATCTAGTACTCTTGGACCGTTGGTTGTGGACTCGGGCACTTCAGATCATATTTTTGGCAAACATTGTTTATTCAGTAATAAATCACCACGCTGCATACTATGCTTCAGTAAGTGGTAATTTGGTATCTTGGAAACACAAAAAACAGAGTGTTGTTGCTTGATCTAGTGCAGAAGTAGAATATCGAGCAATGGCTATGGGAACAAGTGAGCTAATTTGGATCAACCAATTGCTCAGAGAATTAAAATTTGGAAAAGTTAGTCAGATGGAACTTGTATGTGATAATCAAGTTTCCCTTCATATTGCATCAAATCTAGTATTCCATGAGAGGACTAAGCACACTGAGGCTGAATGTCACTTTGTCAAATAAAAGATATTCTTTGGAGATATGTTGTTGTTTTAAAAATAATAATTGGTAAACTGTATACCCCAGCATTAAGGGTATGCTGGCAACCTCCAAAAAGTTGCAAAGTTCCTAACAAGTCTACAAGTTAATCTATATCCTTTATACAAGTTATAGAGATACAATGCATTTCCATTTAACTTTCTGATTGGAATTGGATCTGTTTTCAAAGCTTCCACCATCTCTATCCTCTTTTACTTCTCCCATTCTGATCCAGCGGCTTAGAAAATCAGTTGTATGTTCAGGCATGATCCACCTAGTATTTGTGAGGTTGAGAAGAAGTGTCTGCAGTGGAGTAGTGAAGTTGCAATGTAGGTACAAATGCTTGTTTGTTTCCTCTGTTTTGTTACAGAGAAAACACCTTGACACCAGTTGCATTCTTTTCTTCTGTAGCGCTTCTTGTGTAAGGCAAGCTCTCAATACCACCAGCCATGTGAAACATTTCACCTTGGTAGGAGAAAGACTTTTCAGATATAACTACATGGGAACTGAAATCTCCCAACTTGGTCAGTCATCTCCTTTTTGTATGCGCTGTTAACTGTATAACATCCATCCTTGCTATGCTCCCAGATAATTGTCTCAGTCAGTTGGGAAGCCCTCAAAAGTTGTTAGTTTCCAGAAGAGATGCCACCCTGTGCACTTCCCAATCATTCATAAGTCTCCTAAAAGACAGATCCCACCCCTGGGGTGACCAACACTCAATTCACTTTTGCTTCAGGATTGTGCACTAAGTGAACACATCTGGGAAAAAAATCCATGAGAGGGATTTGATCAATCCAAGCTTCTTTCCAGAATTGGATCTCATTACCATCTCCAACCTTTAGTCTCAGATTTGCTTTCATCAAGGGCCAAAGATTCCTTATAGCTCTCCAAACTCCAACTCCTAAGGTTCTGTAACTATCTTTGTCCACCAAGGATTTGTTTCACCAAATTTTGCCTTAATAACCTCCTTCCATAGAGCATGTTTGTTCACCCTTTTAGTTTACCAATAGTTTTATGCATGGAAAATTTAATCAGAAAGTTGATTAAATCAACAACTATTATTTATGTTTTTTAGTTTTCTCCGTAGGTCCTCTGTAAAAGGTGTTTTCCCTGTAGCAGTTGTTTTCCTCCACTTTCTCATTTCAATTGTAGTAGGAAGTTATTTCCTTGTTATTAGGTGGGTGGTTAATCCACCAATGTTGTATTTAAGTTATTTTAATTCAATGGAAAGGGAGCAAAAAGTTAATCAAGTTTTTGAGTACTTCAAACTCAAGAGATCGCAGGTTCTCTTAACGAACTAGCACCATAGGTCATAGGAAGAAAACATTTGATTTCACACTACATCGCCCCATAACCAGATCCATATCAGGGGACCATAACAACTTGGTATCAGAGCCGGGAGTTATGAGAGATCTAATCCAACAACAATTAGCACAATTATTGACTTTGTTCCAAGAAGAGCGTGCAACCAATTTAGCAAGGCATGAAGCCATAAATGCTTGCTTGGATGCACTAACGAAGGATTTAGCAAATTCAAAGGCAGATGTTGAAGCAACTGAAAATGGCAGTCACAATCGAGGTTGGAAAGGTAAAGAAGTGGTTGCAGGCTCAGGATCAGAATCAGATGGGAATTCTATGATTCCTAAATATACAAAGTTGGATTTTCCACGATTTCATGGCCACGAAGACCCCTTGGGATGGCTGAATAGGTGTGAGCATTTCTTTCGACACCAACATATACTAGAAGAAGAAAAAATTGGACTCACTTCTTTTCATTTGGAAGGAATTGCACAACACTGGTTTCTTCAACTAGAGAAAGATATGCCTCAATGCACTTAGGATGAGTTCAAACGTCAATGCAACCTTCGTTTTGGACCACCAATTAGAAGTCAAAAGTTGGGAGAATTGGCCAAGTTATGCCAAATTGGATCTGTGGTAGATTACCAAGAAAAGTTTGAGCAATTGGTTTCACAGGCTGGTACTCTTACACAAGCGCAAAAAATTGAACTTTACATTAGTGATCTTGCTGATTATATAGCAATTGAGGTAGAGTTGCATAATCCTCCAGATTTGGCTACGGCTATGAGTATTTCCCGACTTTATGAACGCAAAGAACAACCCCTTGGTTCGCAATTGTTAGATGTCTGTAAATCAAAGACAACAGATTTCTCACCTCAACAACCCACTAGATTTGTGAAGAAATTGACCAGATCTGAAATGGATGAAAGACGACTTAAGGGACTTTGTTTCAATTGCGACGAACTATTCACTCGGGGCCATCAGTGCAAGAGATTGTTCTGGATTGATTTCATTAACAATGAAGAAGAATTACTTTCCACACTTAGCGCTTGAAGGGGAGAGTAATGTTAGCACCCTTTTAGTCTACCAATAGTTTTATGCATGGAAAATTAAGTTGATTAAATCAACTATTATTTATGTTTTTTAGTTTTCTCTGTAGATCCTCTGTAAAAGGTGTTTTCCCTGTAGCAGTTGTTTTATTGTAGTAGTTATTAGCAGTAAGGAGGTTATTCCTCCACTTTCTCATTTCAGTTGTAGTAGGAAGTTATTTCCTTGTTATTAGGTGGGTGGTTAATCCACCAATGTTGTATTTAAGTTATTTTAATTCAATGGAAAGGGAGCAGAAAATTAATCAAGTTTTTGAGTACTTCAAACTCAAGAGATCGCAGGTTCTCTTTTAACGAACCAGCACCATAGGTCATAGGAAGAAAACATTTGATTTCACACTACATCGCCCCATAACCAGATCCATATCAGGGGACCATAACAATGTTCCTCACCATTGTATCTCCATAGCCATTTCATCATTAGACAATTATTCTGTATACTTAAGTTCCTGATTACCAAACCACCCCTCTTCTTGTTCAATAATATGTTTCCCACTTCACCAACTTGTAGCCACTTCCTTCTTTACATGCTTCCCATAGAAAAGTCCTCCTTAGTTTGTCCAGTTTTTTGACAATCTTGGAGGATAATAGAAAAAAGTGAATCACATATGTGGGAAGAGAGTCTAGCAACGATTTAATCAAAGTGAGTGTACACCGAAAAGAAAAATATTGGGTTTTCCATCTAGCTAACTTTTTCTCTGTTTTCTCCATTATACCATCGCGTATCTCTACTGCTTGGTGCTTATTTTCCAATGGCATGCCAAGATAAGTCATTGGCAGATTCTCCACTTCGCATCCCAAAATATTTGCCAATTCTTAAATATGTGAGACTGCCTTATTGGGAATTAAACTGATTTTACCCTAATTAACTCATCTTTGGAGATATTGTTACACAACCACCACAACTAACATCTTCGCCACCAGTCACCACCTCGACCATCGACCACCACCATCGCTAACAAGTTGTTAACAACAACATCCACTGCACAACCACCAATATCAACCATCTCTATTGTTTTTTTTTGAGAATGGTAACAGAACCATCTCTATTGCAAATCATCTCCATCAGCCATCATCCCACAGTTGTCACCTTTGGCCACCACCAAAACCGCCATCAGCTACCATAACACAATTACTACTGCCAATCCACTAACCACAATTATGAATTATCATCACCGACCCACTGTCGCCAACTACCACCATCATTAGCTTTTGGAGTGTGTTTCATCACATAAGCAGTTTTCACAATATAATGTAAATTAATATTTTTTCTAATTGTTCGGATATGAGATTTAATTCTTCATTTATTAAATTTTATATTGATTAATTTTTAAATAAAGATAAAATTAAACAAATTTAGATGTTGATACAAACCGTTTTAATTATTCCATGTTCAAATCTCTTCCCGATTCCCGAATTACTTGTTTCCCTCTCATAGTCATTTGTGGTCTCACAAGTAAGAAGATGAAGAGCACTCAAATTTACCTGAATGTTGAGAAATATAATTACTATCTCCTGAAGATAAGCAATTGAATTTTTTCATTCCTGCATGGGGTTTCTTCGCTACTGCCTGCATTGAATCATTCAATCTAACTGGAAGGATAACAGCTGCCATGTTATCCATACTACCCTTTTCAAAAGCAGCATTCACTATGCAGTCAGCTAAGGAGTATGAACATGAATAAGCGAGTTCTGATTGCACAGCGAAATCAGCGTGTAAATTCCATAATATGTCACAAATATCCTGTGAGCTAAGCTTTTCAAAAACGCCATCAGATGCTGCCACCAAATAGCAGTCGTTGTCTGTCAAAGGTTGCCAATCAGTGACTTCAGGAGCAGATATAACACCATAACTGATAAAAACATGAAGAAATTGATTAGTCATATGTCAAGTTAAAATAAGTCTCTTGAAATTTCCTAGTTTACTAGCACTGTACAGGAAAAATAAAGCGGATGAATCAATGCATGTCTTCTAGTTCAACAGTTAAATACACAGATCAATCAAAGCATGCATCCAACTTCACCAATTAAGATGCACAAAAATTTATGCACACATCCAAGTCCAACACAAATCTGCAGATGAAGCAATGGTGGGAATATATTTACAAAGATCTTCCTGCAAAGTGTGAAACTTACCTTTTAAAATAAACATCACCTATTGCTCTAGAAACAGCCAATTGACCATTAACCCTAGCTACGCCGCCCCACTTAGAAACATGTCCTCCTGCCGTCTCCACTCGAGACCTCTCATCATCCCTATCTGGATGGTGGTCTCTAGTCAGTTCCTTAGCAATCAGAAAAGGCCACTGGTCAGGAGCTGCCAACTTGAAGCTTCGGAAGTTCTTCACAGGTTCGAAAATTCCAAAGCCTCTTGTTTGCCTATACAACCTCAATAAATTAGCTGCAAGCAAAAATGGATTAAGATAACTACCTCCGCTAACAGTCCACACACTGAAAGAGCCCACCACAATGGCCTTAATCCAAGTTTAGAGGCATTCCATTGCTCACTAAAATATGAGTTTTGTTATAATTAAGGACATTATATATAACATATGAGTATAGAGCACAGAGATTATTACTAGACATAGAGCCTGAAAGAAGGACTTTTCTAACCTTTAGACTCTTCTTGAGATTTAAATTCTTCAGAGCATAAAAATGCCTTTGAATCTCCAATATTGGCAACTAAAATTTGATTTTCTGCCGTAAGAATAACTGTGGCGGTAGAGCCAGAACCAAAATTGTGTCTAAAAGCATCCTTCAAAATCAGACAAGTTTAAATTAAGACAAATAATAATAAAGATTTAACTCCGATCAACCTAACAAAAAAGATACAACTTAAGAGATTACCCTTGAAAATGCAGAGTCAATATCATCAATTGCCCTTAGCAATGCTTCCCTCAATATTTCCAAGTGAAAAGATCGATCAATGATTGATGAAACAGTCAGCTTGAGCCTACAGAGAAAAAATTACAGTTTTCCTAGGATAAGTACATCATGAAATTAGTTTGGACAATATGAGATGCCATTGGATAAGTAAATACAGATAATGAAACCCTATAATAGCAAATAAAATCAAAAAGTAGACTATAGCTTAAAATATCATTCAAGTTTAGACTTAAAATTACACATATAATAAAGTAAGATTATTCGACCTGCTTTGAGTTTTTTTTTTTTTTCTTGAGCCAAGGGTCTAACAGAAACAACCACTCTACCTCTCAAGGTAGGGGTAAGGTTTGTGTACACTCTACCCTCCCCAGAGGATTACACTAGGTATGTTGTTGTATATAATAAGTAAGATTATTCCCCTTTGACACAGTAATATTGAGGATCTAAGGAAGGATCATCTACTCTCACTGCCATGTTCCTGTATGCAGAATTAAACTAGCAATGCTGCAGCAGCCAGTAAAAGACTCCATAAAAGGAATCAGGAACTTTTGCTCGTCTTTGTCAAGCCTTGGATATAATCAACAAAGGTGCCCTACTTTTTTCTATGTTTTTGTTTACTTGTTTAGTGAGTTTTCTATAGAATAGTGGAAAAGAGGGGCAGTCCACAGCATTCTTTAAAGTATGTTTGTTGGTTTTCATGTGTTTACCATGAAAAAGGGACTGAACGACATATCACCTTACAAACAACTTTTCCACGTTTCAATGTCTCATAATTGATAAGAGCTATTTTAGTAAAAAGAAATATGTTTGCTTTCGAGAGGACAACGAAAAAGCAGAGAGTGTAGGTATGTAGAAGACACCTCCCAACGTTCAACTCATCCAGCTCCCAGTTCAGGTCTCGAAGAGTACTCTGTCCTCTTTCATTTGGCAAGAGCCCAATCATTTTCCTTGAAAGAGCTGAAAATGTTGCATCAAGAAGAAAAAATGTATGCAATGTGAAATACTGTAGCAATAGCTTTGATGCCATTTCACTTGCTTCATCACCATTATGACCATCAAAAACTGCGACAACACCAACAGTAACCTCAGTAATACCATCACTACCTGCATAATATAAGAAAATTTTAGAGAAAATAGTGAACCATAAGGAGAAATAAGAACATAGTGTGAGAAATAAAGACTCAGGAAATTATTACTAAATTATGTATTCCACATTATTATACCGAACCCTATTTATAGACACTGCATTACGATCTTTCTCCACGTAGGACAGAATAAACAATCGTATTCCTATTCCTATTCTAACACTCCCCCTCAAGCTAGTGCACGCAAGTCATATGTAACAAACTTATTCCAGAGTACCAATAGGAGACTTGGTGAAAATGTTTGCAAGTTAATCACTTGACTTAAAAATTTTGTAACAATACTACCGAGAATATCTTTTCTTTGACAAAATGACAATCACTGTGCTTAGTCCTCTCATAAAATACCAGATTTGATGCGATAGGAAGGACCGCTTGGTTATCACACTCACACACAAGTTCCATCTAACTAATTTCCCCAAATTTTAGTTCTCTGAGCAACTGTTTATTCCAAACTAGTTCAAAGTTTCCTGATGTCATAGCTCGAAATCCTACTTCAACACTAGATCGAGAAACCACACTATGTTTCTTACACTTCCAGGACACCAAATTACCTCCAACTAAAACACAATATCCGAATATAGAACACGTCTATCAAAAGGTGCCCAATCAACATTTGTATATCCGATGATCTGCTTATCGCCTTGATCCTCGAAGAGTAGTCTTTTACCTGGAGCTGACTTTATATATCGGAGAATCCAAACACTAGATCTTAATGACTATCACAAGGAAAATCCATAAACTGACTCACAACACTCATAGGAAAAGAAATATCAAGTTTAGTCACAGTGAGATAATTTAACTTACCAACCAACCGTCTATATCTTCCGGGATCACTGAGTGGTTCCCTTGTCCTAGCAGGAGTTTAGCACTCCGATCCATAGGAGCATCAATGGGTCTACATCCCATCATACATACCTTTACAAAAATGTCTAAGGCATACTTTCTTTGTGAAATAATATTACTTGATCTGGACTGAGCAACCTTAATTCGGAGAAAATACTTCAGCCTAGTGAGGTCTTTAGTCTAAGAATGTTGAAAGAGATGTTGATTTGTCGGTGATAACAATATCATCAACATAAACCACCTAATAAATACACACATTTGATGCGGAACGCAATAAAACACAAAATGATCAACTTCACAAAGACTCATGCCAAACTCCCAAATGTGAAGCAAACATCTGTTCAATCATAGCCTGCCTCCATCTTGGATGTGGAAGTGCTTCACATGTTTGCGGCATAGGGATGAAAATAGAGGACAAAGATGATATAAACGCATAATTGGGTGATGATAGACAATGATAACTTAAAAAGGTATAATGGAGGTTGGTATTATGAGTGGATCTTAAACATTTCGGAAATGCAGTCGATTGACTAGGAGGAGACAAGTCTGCAGTAGGTGCAAGGTCCGACACATGACATGAATCATTTGGTCCTGATGTTGGATGAGGATGACGATAATAAGGTCAAAAATGGCATTATGACTAGGAATGTAAAAGTAACTGTAGATTCCTCAAAAAGTCTGAATAGGTAAGACCTCGAAAATATAATGATGATAGGAAGAAGATGTAAATTAAGGTCGAGACTCAAAATATTTGACATTGGCTGACTTAAGGTACTGATGAATGTGCAAGTAACAACAATAACCATTTTGAACCCAAAAATAACCAAGAAAGAAACATTTGAGAGCACATGGGGCTAATTGATCTTATCCCGAAGCTAAGCAATGAACAAGACATGTTCCTAAAGAAACAAGGAGAATGAGAGCATAAAGGTGATTTAGGAAAAACAATATGGACTAAGGAATTTGATTTTGAATGAGAGATTAGGACATCTGATTAATTAAATAGCAAGACGTGAGAACTCCATCGTCCCAAAATTGTAGCGGAACATAGAATTCAATGAGAAGAGTGTGATCAGGCTCAATGAGATGTCTATTCTTCCTTTCTACTACCCCTTTCTATTGAGGGGTATACAGATAAGATGTCTGATGAATAATTCCTTGGTGAGTCATAAACTACCAAAACTTGGAGGATAAGTATTCTAAGACATTATCATACACAAAGTGTGAAGAAGAAACTCCAAATTGGTTTTGCATTTCAACACAAAAACTCTTGAACATAGAAAATAAATTCGGAACGATCTTCCACTTTGAAAATCCAAGTACATCTTGAATAATCATCAATGAAACTAACAAAACAACAAAATCCTAAGTTTGAACCAACTCTACTAGGACCCAAATATCATAATGAACTAATGAAAAAACATCTCAGCACTATATGGAAAGGTAGTGCGGGTATGTTTCCAAATTGACGCAACTAACAATCTAATGTAGATAGGTCGGACGAACTAGGCACCATCTTTTGCAACTTGAATAAACTTGGATATCCAAATGTATGTGAATAGGTCAGGAGGATCTTTAACGAGGCATATTATGGAGGAATTAGGAGAAATACGATAGTAGAGGCCTTGTGATTCAAGCCCTGCGTCAATAGTTTGCCCTATACTGCAGTCTTGCATAACATAGAATCATCATAAATATTATGGTGCAATTTCTAGGGTTTGACAGATGCAAGATTAAAAGAAGAATTAGGGACATAGGGACATAAAGAATAGAGAGTTTTGAAATACAAATGATAAAAGATTACCTTGTCAACTCTTTTAGGTTGTGCTTGGATCCATTGGCTAAAGTAACAACATGAAGATACTAAGAACCCCTGATTACCAACATTGTCAGACTGAGCAATATTTTTTTTTGATAACTGAGAAATCCGTCTGTGACCCGCCACCCTTGGACCAATCACAGCCTTCTAAACTCGGTGGATAATGGGCCCGCCCCTCTACCCTTCTCCACTTAAATACCGGGCTTCGCTTTGCATGGTGTGGGGCTTGAACCTGCGACCTAAGTCACAAATCCTCCACCTTTTGGCACTCAAGCTTGGCCTTGGGGGCGTCAGACTGAGCAATATAAGCAAGGGGTTTGCTATATGTGGCTTGGGACTTTCATGTTGGAGGTCTCAAGTTTGAAACCCCTTGCTAGCGAAAGCTAGGGGTTTACCTACTGGGTCGAGCTCATCGCACCGGGCTTGCCTAGTGCGAGTTACCTCTCCTATGTGGTTTGCGAGCTATTGCATAAGATTAGAGGTTTTACCCTGTGCACACCCAAAGGTGCGCACTGCGGGTTTCCCTTGTCATAAAAAAAAGATACTATGAATAAAAAACATTTGACAAAAGTGATTTGTTACCAAAATATGATAAAAATACATGAGTCCATAACCCACTTCGAAGGGTACTAGACACAGCAACAAAAGTATCAGGTTGTGTGAGGCTACTTGTGGAGATGTCTGCTTACTTGATATGATACTCAAGGAAGTCATTATATTCCTCTTCAGATAATATGAACCCCTGATTACCAACATTGTCAGACTGAGCAATATAAGCAATCTTCAGTGGTCGACCATGCAGTGAATAGCATACGCCACGAGTGTGTCCAAGACTTTTACAATACCTACACTTAGGTCAAGATCTTCCAAAACGACCTCATCCTTATCAATTTTCCATAAACTAAGATATTCAATTTTTTATGGTTTGAGATGTAAGAAAAAATGAGTCAATGGTTGGTGATGAGACCATTGTGTGATTAGGAGTCACGGCAAGGCTAAGTAAACAAGAGAATAGTTCATCAATTGTAGGAACCATAGACTAGCCAAACTCTAATCACACACTGAATCAACATCACTAGAAAGTCCAACAAGTGAAGAATTATAAACAATGTATGTCTATGCTCTTGTTTTTTTCCAGCATTTGTAGTGACCGGTATCAACCTCTTAAATTCCAACATGATTGTTTGTACATGTCTCAAGTAAGTAATTAGACACATGATTCTTGTTTCTTTAAGTTGGTCATCCGTGATATCACATCATAAATATGAGATACGTCATTAGTGTATAAAAACACGAGTCTTTCCCTAAATTGAATAACATGTCTAGAATGGGCGAAACAAGGGCATCAACTTGGAATCAATAGATTGCCACAGGACTACATAATTGAATGTCAATCTTCTCCTACTACATTTTGGCCTTCTAATCTACCTCACTAGCCTTTGCCTTTTCATCTACCAAACTAGCCCTTTTTTGTTAAGTGGTCTATAACACCTTGACTCTTAAACGACAACTAAACCGAGGAAGCGCTAGCTAAATAGTTTGGACTTTCCATTAATAGTTCTGAAGTGATCATAGGGCTCGAACTTTCAATTCCCATGTTTTTTGAGCCAAAAAGACATGGTTGTCTTGAAGGAGGGTCTAAACAAAGAAAGTGACTTTGAGGTTGATGTTGGTCAGGAAAAGTGTCAAAGAAAATCTTTAAGTAGTTCAGGAGCTGGAATCTTCTCAAAGATTGCAAAGAAACTTCAATCGAGTCCCTATAAGTATAATAAAAGTTCACAAAGATTGTTAGAAAACTGGCAAGGGCATTGGATTAGGGTTACGACAATCGAAATTAGCAGAAAATGCAAAGAATAGCTTTGGAAGGGTTGGGAGACTCCCAGGGAAAAGGATCTACTTCAATACGTCGGCTAAAGACTTTTGAGTTGCACGTGGAGACGCATAAAAAGGCTTCTATTGGAGCATTTTCTTGGGCTTGCTCACCAGAGTTCCCTAAACCTTGTGGTAGCGTTGATTTTTGCGCAACACTTACCTAAAGAGAGGTGACACAAAACAGACATTAAATAGTCACCGAAAAAGAAGGCACAACGAATATCTTTTTGTCTCGATGTTTTCTCATGGTTGCTTTGATACCATGTGAGTAATAAAGACTTAGGAAAATATTATTGAATTGTATATTCTACATTATTACACTGAGTCCTATTTATCAACACTACATTACAATCCTTCTCCACGTAAGACACTACATAAAATTCGATTCCTATTCCTATTCTAAAAGTATGTCTACACAACATCGTGAGTAAGGTGGGGTCTTACAATAGGTTAGATTCTACTAGAGCTATTTGAAACTAGTACTACTGGTAGGGCCTAGAAGTTAGAACCAATTTATTGACACTTTAAACTGCCATTGCCTAGGTTAAGCTCCAAAGCATACGTATCTAGTATGCTTAATCTAGAAAATTAAATAGTTCTAAACATCTATGATACTATTCAATTCATCAAATGGGAAGTCCATTTCTCTTTTTTGGTTTATACCAAAGTAGAGTTCATTTTTTGTTCTATAAGGTTTCAAACCTTATCAACTGATCAACTCTACAAAATTTGCAAGGCATCCACTCAAGTTTTCTAAATATTTTTTTTCTACTCCATTCTATAAAGCTAAAGAAACACCATATGGCTCCATATGTTCCCATATGAAATGGGCCCCCACTTTTCATAAATTGTCTTAATTTGACTTAATACCAAGTAATGAAACTTCACATTGTTAGGAGAACTTATGGTTGTAAGCGCTTTAGTTTGTTTTTTATTAAAGCACATGTAAGTGCTTTAGTTTTCTTAAAGTAGAGTAGATAAAGGTTGTATTACAAAACATAAAAGTAGGTCTTATGTATCTTTTAAAGAGTATTATGAGTGAAAATATCTTCTCATAAGAAAATGGACAATGTGATTGCACATATGAGGGACATACAATTTGAGGTGGAAGGAACGCTAAGTAATTTACATCTTCTACTACTATTCTATAAATAACAGCGCAGTGCAAAATTCAGACAACCAAATCAAAAGAAAAAAGAAAAACCTATGAGGAGAAGTCACTGGTCAGGGATTAGAATCAGAATTTGCACTCAACTACACGATCACTTTTGAGAACCCCATTTTGTTTACCCCTAATATTTAATCTAGTAAAGATCTAATAACAAGGAAATGCTATTTTTTCTCCGCCAAGCTGCAACCAACCCACAATTTCCATTTGAAGTTTGATAAACACACAAAAGAGGCTTTGTTTTCTTGATAATTAACACAAACTTTCCCTAATACCTTTTTCTTTATTTCACCAATTTTTCTGTCATTCATAATTTTGCTTTAAATACTCAACTGGAACAATTGATACAATCTAAGACAGAAATAAGTAGTAACATTTTAAAATATGAGTTTTTATGCCATTAAACTAAAAATTGGATTGATTAAACAATAAAAGTCTTGGAGCATGCTAAATTACCAAAAAATAACAATTCATATAATAGGTTCACAGATAAAGTAATGTGCATATTAGCAAACAAAAAATATTCCAAAAGTAAAAGTTGAAACAGAAAATTTACTGGGGAAAGGGATGTGAATATCGAGAGCACAGAGAATTCGATCTTCTTGAGACTTGCGGCGACCTTGATGTAAGGCAGTTTGGCACCTAGCATTCGGTAATTTCGACCATTGTTCCGAACCATATTCTGGCAGCTTCCAGCGAGGGCATTTCGGAGATTTAAACACGGCTGGTGCACCACCTTCTTTATATACCGTCAAACATTTCGATGATTCTCCGTAAGTACATGTACTCACGCAAAGAACAAACCCTAACACAAACCCGAGAAATTCACATAAATCCATCCTCTTCTCTGGTATGTGATCATTCTCTGATCATAGGGAATTGAAATTGCAGAACCTGTGTTTCATGTTATTGAGAAATTGAGAGAAATGAGAGTAACCGGGCGGTGAATTTGAAAAGACGATGCTTTATAGGGATGTGTGGGTCTTGCGGTTTTTTCTCACGTTGGGTCTCTGTACGAATGAAACTGAAAAAGAGTAATCTAGAAGGGAAGTGTGGAGAATTTGCACTAGGTGCCACTTTTACAGTTTTACTACTTTTATTTAAAATCTAGAGGAATTGACACAGATAGACAAGTGTTACATACAATTGGCAACATATAGCCCAATATTAATTAGTAATTAATAAACAAATAAAAAATTGGCACATATTAGCCTAAAAGTAATATATACATTTTCTAAATTATTTTTAAAATAATAAAAGATATTTAATATCATCTCTCTTCTAACTTCCAAATTCCAATCATTACTCCTTAAAACTAGCAAAAAATAATTTATAATTATCTCTCCTTTCAAATTATTACGTATTTTTTTAAAATAATAAAAGAAAATTAATTACATCCTTCTTCTAACTTCCAACCATTTCTCCTTAAAACTAGCAAAAGATTATTCCTCTCTCCTTTCAAATTATTTCGTATTTTCAAAAATAATAAAAGAAAATTAATACCATCTCTATTCTATCTTCCAATCATTCACTTAAAACTAGCAAAATATTGTTTAGAATTATATCTTTTCTTAAAATTAGCAAATAATATTTTGATTATGATAATTCTTATTTCAAAGGTATTCCTATGAGTTCATTACCTGGCAATTATTTTGCCTTTGGAACTCAATCCATATTGAATACATTTGTTTGTATTCATAATAAATTGATATACATTTATATTTATTTGCATTAATATCTTCCAAATTTTACATATGTATACATTTGTATTGGATACGTGCATCCATATTCATTTATAAACTGGTATACATTTGTTTGCATTAATATCTTTCTAATTTTGCATTTGTATTGAATACATTTGTTCGTATTCATAATAAATTTGTATACATTTATTTGCATTAATATCTTTCAAATTTACATAAGTATACATTTGTATTGGATACATTCGTCTATATTCATTTATAAATTGATATACATTTGTTTGCATTAGTACCTTTCCAATTTTACATAGGTATACAGTTGCTTGCATTACTATTTTGGAATGCAATCAACAAAATTCATTAACAAATTTAGAAAAATTTACATTGTTATATATGTGTTCGTTTGTATTCATTAACAAATTTAGATACATTTGTTGGAGACAAAATAAATATTCATTATCAAATTCAATCAATGAAATTCAATATTTAAAAAATTGTCATAAATATATTAATGAATTATTTATTAAAAATTGAAAAAAGGTCAATTCCAGAAACACAAAACGTTGCAATTTTTTGGGGAAGAAAACGTTGTAGAATTATAATACAAATACGAAAGTTTTTCAAAAGAAAAAAAAATCTTGCATCTAACTACAAGATAAAGAATGTAGAAAATTTTAACTTTTTTTAAAAAAAATAACCCAAACAATCAATATAAAAATTTTTTGGTATGATACTATGATTTGATTTACTTATTGTGAAGAGTTATTGTTGTGATTGATCTTTAATGGAAATATTTTAGAGAAGAAAATAGAAACCCTAAACTTGAAAGAGGGAGAAAAAAAAGGAAGAAAGAGAGAAATTGAAAAATACCATAATTCTTTTTGTTTATAAATTATAAGGATAGAGAGAAAAGAAACAATAACAGCAAATGTGCTAACTCCTAGGAAATAGAGAGAGAAAATAAGGAAAATAAATCAATTTTTAATAAAAGAGAATGTGACTATTTAATATCAAATAAATATTAAAACATCTTTTTTTTGCTAAAAAGTTTAAAGTGGGCTATTTGTTGCCAATAAAGACTATGAATTGTCATGCTATGCAATTTTTTCCACTTGGAGCCCGGGGAGGTCAAACTTATATACAACTTACAAGTGTCTATCGCAACTTCAATTGCATTAAAATTTGGAACAAAGTGGTCAAACCGATGTGTGTCAATGCAAACATATGAATATTTTTACAAATCAATTGTTGCACTATAATACTAAGTGCAACTTAACAAACTTAGAGGTCGTTTTGATACGATATATTAGAGAAAGTAATACGTAATATGGTATATAATTTGTTTAAATTTGATTTGGTTACTTTGAAATATTAATATAATGCGCGAAAAAGTTTATATATGCCACTAAATTTTGGAAATTGGGTCAATTATGGCATCTGTCAATAATTGATGTAATATGTTGTTCTTATTTTACCATTGGTCCAAATATACCCTTATTTATTAATGGTTGAAGTTTTCCAATACGTGACTTTTTCATATATACAAAACAAAAGGCTTAAATTAAACCATTTTGCAAAGTTCAAGAACAAATTTGAGACTTTTGTCAGGTAGAAAAAGGTTCCTTATGGGAAAGCTTTTGCAGTTAATGAAGAGTAAATTTTAGGCATAGCAAACATAAAAATCATATTTGTATGCTATAACTATAGTTTGCATAATTGCGCTCTATAGCAAACTTTATGTTTGCTATGGAGCATCAGATTTGTATAAATCGTTGTCACTCTCGTCTGTTTAAAAGGGCAGCGATTATGTATGTATATCGGTTAGATAACTGTATATATATATAACTATTATGCACATGTATCAATGATTGTGTTTGTATATCTGCATAAAATTTGAATTTGTATACAATCAAATCGAAATAAAACATTTGTATATCAAATCTCTCTCGCTTTATACAACACATATTATACATTGTAATTATTTGTATAATTTGTGTTTGTATAAAGCGAGAAAGAGAGAAAGGCAAAAGAGAACTGGTAGGGAAAGATCTGTATTTGTATAGTTATAAGTGTATGGGACGAAAATATATATATTTGTATATACAGTTTTCTCTCGCTTTATACAAACACAAACGCAATTTCTACAGTTGTGTTTGTATAAAGTGAGAGGGCGAGGGAGTGTGGCGAGAGAGATTCTCTGTGGAAAGAGGCGAATGATAAGTGTTTGCTATGGATTACAATTAAATGAAACCGTGGTTATAACATTTAATTTGATTTAATAGTTTGTTATTTTATACATTTTTCTCATTAATGAATAAGGGTATTTGGGCAAATTTTATAACGATGGGACATATTTTACCTTACTAATTTACCGATGATATACATAGACTATTTTTCAAAGTTCAGTAATATATTTGAACTTTTTTGCCTATTTACAAGATATAGTAAGTTGACTCCAAATTATAAATTGCCTTTGCGTTATTGGATATTCAAAAATATAACATAATGGTCAATAACATGTATTGATCCTAAAACTTGATGATATTCTGAAATTTAATGACCTAAACCAATTGAATACTTTGTAGTTTCTGTGGATGGAAAGTTCTTGGGTGTCAAACTAAATAATGATTTGTACTATTAATATTCAACAAAATGATCATATCCATTTGCCAAATCCCTAATCTATTTGTCTAAAATAAAAACTTAAATAATTCTCCCATAATTCAATGATCCACTACTTGCAATAATATTCCACAAATCTTTAGTGCTCTCACTTGATTCGATACCTCGTTGAAATTAAAGAAAATGTCCACCATTGTAAATAACTCTATAAAGAAATATTAGCATTATGGGACTTGATAATGATGTCAAGGATTTGAATAATCAATTAGAAGCTCCACACGATGATCCGGTGAATCTAAAATTTTGAATTTATGATTTTTTGATCATAAAAAGGGCAACTTAGTGAATATTGGATAACTTATTTATACATATAACATACTAGGAGACTTGGCCACGCTTAAGAAAGATCTCTTTAGATTTACAAACTAATCTTTTACTATTTCAAAAAATTAAAAATATTTTAAAATAATTATATAGTCTTCAAATCCAAATAAATTAGATTTTAATTTAATTTTAATTTGTTTAACTTTTCATTACCTAAAACTTAGTTGTTAGAAAATAAAGTTCATCCCAAAAAAAAAAAGAGATTCCCTTAAATTTTCAACATCATTATTTGTGTTCTGGTGTAGTGACATTCTTTTGCTTAATTAAAAAAAATTATATCTTAAAAAGAAAAGTATTTTGCACATAATCATGATATAGTAATAATGGTGTTTAATAGTTTCATTAAATTTCTACGATAGTACATTTTATAATTTTGAGAAAGTTGTATAAATATTTATTCGTTACAAATGCTTAGAGGTTTTGCCTATTTCAAGTTCTTACATAATTCAAATAAATTCTTATATTTAACTTTTTTTTTTAAAAAAAAGTGATAATATTTACAAAATATATATATATGCTAAAAATTTACAGTTTAACAGAAAATATGCATATTTTTTAAATTTGTAAGTACACTAAAGTACACATATTTGTTAGCCTCCTATGAAAGCTTAGCAATAATATTTGAGACTTTATTCTTACAATAAGATGTACGAGCAGAAATGAAAAAAAAAATATTCAAAAATAAATCAAAACTAATTGATGGCAACAAATTAATTAAAAAATTATAGTTTATATATTACATCGTTAGTTAATTAAAATTTAAAGCACTTCTTCAAGTTCAAATAAATTGCATATTATTCGGAGATCTGCAAGAACAAAAAGGAAAAGAATGAAAAATTTGAAGTTAGCTATAAGATAACATATGTTGAATTTTCTGAAGATACAACAATAATATGTTATGTTGAATTTTGTGGATATATAACAATGATTTAAGAAGACTCTTAACAGTAGAAGACAACTTATGATCACCACATACTCATTTTTTTTAGCACCATCCAGGAACTAATTCATCATTGCATATTCTTCTAGTTTAGTATATTCGTGGTATACATAAATTTGTATGTAAGAATTCATTAAAATTATAATAAATTATGAAAGTGAACTCATGACTTAAAAATATAACAAATTAGTGCTAAATCATTAAACGTTAAATATATAAAATTTAAATCATGGCTCCGGCTTAATATCATGATATATATATCACTTGCTTTCACCCCCACACGCATAAAA